TATTCTGGTTTAAGTGAGGGCTTTTGGCTTAGTATTACATGAAATTCAATGAAGTGGGAAGAGAATATATTTTTGTATGTCAAGAAAATATAACTATAATGGACTTCAGAAAATAAGGAAGAAGCTTGATGGCAACCATACAGCTATAGATTTCATAAATGTTTATTGATGTAAATACAAGAACTGCATTTGAAAACAAAAATCTAGGTATCAGCAAAATCTCAATTTAAATGAGAGGGGTTCACAGTAAAATAGGGGAATTTTTCAACTACAGCAATATACTATTCTGTTACTAAAACCTTTTCACTTAAACATGTTTTGTTGAGAACTTTCCATATTTATTCCATCTACAGAATATTGGAAAATTTGAGTAATTATGGATGATGCTCTTGACAGGCACGCTTTGGCATTACGCAGTATGTTGTGTGTGGGTAGTTCCAGCTTCACTGCTACTCTAAAGTTGAATGGCCGTCAGTAGCAGAGTGCAGAACCAAAATCCAGTACTGGCCTGTTCACTAGAATAGACACCTGGAGTCTGTGTGACTAAAGCTGTGCTTGCTTATTGCAAGTGGAAATTACCCTTTTACTCCAGAGTACAAGTGAGAAGGAAGAGAAGAGGCAGCTGCTGGGTTTGTCTCTTAAGGTAATTTCTGTTTTGGCCCCAGCACACCATTCAAGGCTACAAAGATACATAGAGATGCTTCTGTTTATTACAAGTTCACTTCAAATATTGTATGCTGCAAAAAAAGGAACACTCTGCTAAATATACACTTTAACATGCATTTTTTAAAGTACATTTATTTAAAAGAAATACTGTGATGTATGTATCAGTATGAACTGTTGAATGTTATTTCAAAAAGTTTAGCACCATTCTACAAATCTGCAGAATTTTGATCAATTTTTTATCACAAAATCTCCAATAGGTTTACAAATCTCTAAAATAAGGAGAGCGTAGTTACTTGCTTATCTTCTGGGTCCTATGAATTGAGTAACAATAATGGCTTCTTGAAAGTTTACAGAAAAAACAAGCATGAAACTCTGGGACAGATGGTTCTTAAAAAGAATATAGATACCTATTTCCTGTCAAACAAGATGTCCTCAGATTTCAGTAAAGAAATTTTCTGTATACTGCCCTAGAGAATTACTGTCAGGGAAAACTAAACTGGTGAAACTAGACTTCAGAATGTGTAAACTGTTCAGTTAAACATTTACAAATGTCCCCACCCCTTTTCTTTCTTTCACTTCCTATTTTATTGCTTCTGGTGTTATACAAAGTTCTGGCTCTTGCACTCTTGGTGACATCAGCCATTGTTATGTGATGCTGTTGTAGCATGTCTTTGATGTTGTCTCTCCATCTTCCTCTGGGTCTGCCTCGCGCTTTTTGGCCTTTATGCTTGTTCGCTCTATTTCTATATTTATGATATGCTTTTTCCTTCCAATTGCCATTACTTCAGTCTTTCTTTTACTGATTCTCATATTGTTTGCCTTGCTTTCTTGGTTCATGGACATAAGATGTTGCTGCATCTCCTTTGCTGTATTTGTTATCAATGCCTGATCATCTGCAGAGTAGTTTGTTATTTCTGTTTTTAAGCCTGACTTTTTTGTTTATACTATCTATGTAGGTGATAAATAAAAGTGGTGATAATAGACACCCTTGTTTTACTCCAGATGTTACTGAGAAGCCCCCAGCCCTTCAATATAATAAAACAAGCATAAATAAATACATTGAATTAATGCTGCAATTATTTCTTCCCAAAACCTGACACTTTTCCAACTACCTAAACCATGACTGCTCCCAACGTACTCTCCTTCCATTCTGTTCCATCTTCCTGACAACAATCAAGAATCCTTTGCATTCCTCCTCCTCCTCCCTACAAGATTATTTTGGGCATGCTCAGAGAAGGGTTATAAAATATGCCGGCGTGGAGAGGGGTAATCATATTCTTAATAAATGCCCATGTTACAAGAATACTAGGCACAGTGTATACTAGACTTTTCCCTTGACCTGACGTAATAGTTTCCCAGAAGATGCTATAAAGGTTGAGAGATCTGTTTCATGCTAACAGCCTACAAGTGAGCTAATAATAGGTTATTGTTTAAAATTGGAAGGGGCAAGTGTGCAAGAAGCAGTGTGTCTATCTTCTAGTCGTGCACAATGGTCCATTGGTTGTTTATACCATGGGCTTTTGTTATATGCAAGCCAGGTTCTTGTGAGTTCAGAGTGGTGGTGTTGTACATGCCAAGTGAGGAAGCTATAGGGATGCATGCAGTCTTTGCGTGCTGACACATTTATGTCTTTCTTCCGTTACTAATCATCTAATCCAGTAGAATGAATCATCAGGTATGAGGTCATTACATTTTTTGTACTCCCCCACCTTGCTGGAAGGCTGTTGTCCTGCAGTCTCCGAGGGATCCCTTTGTCTGACCTCCAGCAGATTAAGCACCAGGGAGCTTGCCTCCTCTCTGTCACAGTTCCTCTCTGCTATCTCCTGCTGCTGTGCCCAAGACATCTTGGCAGCATCTACCCCACCCTCCTCCCCGTGGAACTCAAAATCAGTTTCCATGTCATCTTATTTATTTATTTTATTTATTAAAATATTTTTATGCTGCCCCATTCGCCGAAGCCTCGGGGTGGCTCACAATAATTATAAATTAAAATATAAATATTAAATTAAAATACCACAATACAGTATAAAATAAGCCGCCCTGGCCAGATAAAACCAATAATGTTAACAGTTAAAATGCCGCTTGAATAAAAAGGTCTTCGCCTGGCGCCGAAAAACAAATAACGACGGCGCCAGGCGGACCTCTCTGGGGAGCGCGTTCCATAACTTAGGCGCCACCGCAGAGAAAGCCCTCCTCCGAGTACCCACCCTCCTAATTTCTTTCATGGAGGGTTCCCGGAGAAGGGCCTCCCCTGCCGATCTCAAGGGGCGGCTGGGCATATATGGATGCAAGCGCTCCTTCATCTTGAGGTGCCTTTGCAGAGCAGCTGGGCCTGTGTTCACAAGCACTTTTCTCATGTTCCCTAGCAGCTGCTTTGCACAAGCATGCTACCTCTAATATTGAAGGTGACATATAGCCATCAGGACTAGTAGCTTTTCCAGACTCCTTGGATTTGGAGGGGACTCCCCCATGTAATCCTCACATTGTAGGAACCAGCAGCTGAAGAATTAAGCAAGAGCTCTTTAAAAAACACAGACTACTCATTAGAGGAGGTGGGGTTAGCAGCAGGCCAAGGCCAGTGAGCTTTAGTAACTCCTCAGAAGACACCTGCATGTTGCTGAGGCAACACTACTTGGGTGAGTTCCAGCCAACATCTGTCACACTGATCTGCTCAGGGTGTGGACAGGCCATGCCCTGCATTGCCTGGTGATAGCACGTAGCGGCATGTGATCGTGCATAGCTGCACATGAGTCTGCCTTTCAGTAAGTGCTGTTGAGTTAGATCAACCTTGTTATGAACCTTGACCTGAGCTAAGGTATGACTGGCCCAGTTCAGACTTAACATTTCCTAGATTGTTGAAATACAGATTAGCTGCCAAGAATGCAATTGAAGATGCTCTCTACTTGGCTTTGTACTTGCATCCTCCCCTACAAGTTTGGTCAGTCTTTAAAATTATAATTCCTTATATCCAAATGCAGGAACTGTTGTTTAATGATAGTTTAATAAGCAGAATTTTAGGTCAAATGTTCCAAATCAAGACTTCCAAGTCAAGCCTGCCTTCTACACTCACTGCTTTGATTTCCCATGTGCAGAAAGCTCCATTCTAAACATTTCTGTGAAGACAAGACTATAGTCTTTTCCCAGTATTCACCAACTATTAGCTTTGCATGAATGATTACTTGTGTAATTTGTTGCCTGTGAAAATGTGCGTTGAAAGAAGAGGAAGAAGTTATTGAAGACATTTATACAAGCATCATGGTTTACAATTGCTTCAGTATTCCAACCTGTTCCAAAGCTGGTAACCATAGATTCCTGATTTGCACAAAACAGGAAATTATAGTAAAATGAGAGAGTTCTTTGTTTGCTTCATACCACATAGAATCATAAAATGTAAATCATTGTTATGGTTGAAATAGCACCAACAAAATTTGTAGAGATCTGTTCTCAGCACAAGGTGGCACTAATGTATTAAATGGAAGGCAGGACATTTTTAAAAATGTGTAGTTATCAAAGGTTTAAATTTTCTTTTAAATGCTCTGAACAAATTACAATGAACAACACTCTTAACATAAATGATTCTATGTATAGACAGCCTCTAATTAGTTAAGCAATTGGTGATAATCAAGCTAATGTCTGTCTTGCTTTTTCTTCCCTATTTTCATTAAAGAAGCTCATTTCTAACAATTTATAAACACTTTCTGGAAAAAAAAAAACAAACTGAGCTGCGGTAGATTCAATCTACTTGTAGATTCAATTGTACTCTCTTTAAATTACGTTCTGCAATATTTATTATTATTGTGTTGATTTTTTTTTATATTGATTTGGAGGGTTTACTCCCTCTTGCATTAACCAAGAATTTCTGTATTTTGTGTCAAAGCTGCTTTTTGTGGAAAGAAGTGACAGATTAAATTTATTATATAATAATACCCTAAACAGAGTGTATCATAATATAAAATGACAGGGAACATAAAATATAGAGCTACACATAAAGCAGAAGTCTGCAGTTGCCAAATGTCCAATATATAAATCTTGGGAGGCTACTATTTGCTGAAGAGAGTATCATAATTATGACATCACCGTCAAAGATTTTGCCTCAAAGTGCAATGGGACAAGTATGTCTTACACATGCTACATTCTGAAAATACATGGGTGTTCATACTTAATGAAATATAGAAATATATAGAAATACAAATCCTAATCGTGATGGTTTACAAGTAACTTCTTAGGATAAAAACCCCTATAGTTTGCCAAACATTCCTATACCATGTTAGGCAGCTTTCAGTGATCTTTTACTTCCTTGGCTTATCAAGCCTCACCTTTTCATTTTCTTTTAGGAATGAAGACTGAATTGAAGATGAATTAATAAAGCCGCTGCTGTAAATGTAGGACAGAACACTAATGGTGTGGGCAGTATGGACCTCATGAACGGGCAGTCCAGCAGTGTTAATATTGCAGCTACTGCTTCAGAGGTAAGGCGTCATAAAGAATCTCTTGTTTAAGTCAACTTTAAAAGTGGAAGAGCGTACTGCGTATGTCGAACAACACACTTCAAAGAAAATGCTTGCCTTCTGAAGATAGCATAGTATATAGTCAATTCTTATGTGTTGGAATATTTGAGTAGGAATCCTGAAACTTCTATAAACTTGCTGAAGTACATAATTTTGTATGTTTTGCTTTAACCAAAGATGCCTCTTGTTTCCTGCCTTTTTTATTGCAGCTGTTCATGGCCAGTAAAAATATTTGAAGAAAAACTGAATTGATTTTTATTATACAGTACTATTCTTTCAAACCCAGTCTTGTTTGTAGCTGCTCACCTGGTCACCTGTGGTAAGAATATCATCAAACAACCAGACAGGGAAACTTTTGTAAATTAGCAGGCTGCTGATATGTCCTAAATGACATGGGTGTGTAGCTAGATTAGTAAAACTGTGGATTTCTCTGCAACTTTAATCTAAAAATTAGTTGGAGGAATCTTTTTGCATATACCAGTAAAATGGAATGCAAGCAAAAAATAGACCAGCATTAATGGAAGAGTTAGTTGACATAAAAATTGAATTGATAAAAAGGATGTTTTACTTCCTGACATTAAATAGCTTTTGAAGAGTTCAATAAGCATGCAAATTTTTTGTTTTCTCTCTTTACCAATACATTAAATTTACATTTTTAGCCAACTTTTCCTCTTGAGAAGAATCCAGTGTGGCTTACATAGTCCTCCTCCTATCCATTTTATCCTCACAACGACCTTGTGAAATAGGATAGGATGAGAGACCATGACCCAGTAATGTGAACACTAACCGGCAGTGGCTCTCCAGGGTTTCAGGCAGGATTCATTCCTTCTCCTACCTGGAGAGGATTAAAACTGGGGCCTTCTGCATACCAAAGCATGTGTCCTCCCAAAGTCAGTACAAATCAAATAAAAACTCAATATGGGAAGCTTGGAATGGGGAATTAAAGAGCTCATTATCACAGGGTAGGGAAAGTGGTATTACAATGAGTCAAAATGTAGCTTGATCTTAATTGGAAACTACTTCCAGCTAAATGTACTTGTTCAGGTTCTTAGAGCCTATATAGCAGGTTAAATGAGGTAATCTACATGTCACTAACCAACAGTACCCATAAAGTAAAACAGTTGCCAATAATGGGAGGGCTGCCCTGGAGGCCAGGAAGTATTAATTAGAAGTATGTTCTTGCACAGTGGTAGTTTCTTTCAGTCATTCTAGGCTTTTCATGCAGTATAAATACAGAACTCCTTTTTTTCATGAAAGTACAGTGGTACCTTGGCTCACGAACTTAATTCCAAAACTCTGGTAGTGACCCAAATTGGTTGTGACCCAGGTCAAATTTCCCCATAAGGGTCAATGTAAATAAGGTTAATCTGTTCTGCAACTATTTTTTTTTTTTTACTCACAAAAATTTGAAGCAAAGTGACAAAGAACAACAAAGATCGCGGCCATCTCCCCCCCACCCAGAGATCGTGTGGGGGGGTGGGGGGAGATGGGCACGATCGCGGGTGTGCTGGGGGGGGAGGCAGGCACACGTGTGCCGGGGAGTGCACGGGTGGGGAGGCAGGCGCCCTCGGGCAGGGAACACGGGCACAATCGCGGCCAGCTCCCCGCCCTAGCACGACTGTGATCACACCTGTGCAGGGAAGGTGGGCGCGTTCGCAATCGTCACCCGATGCAGAGTTTGCGACCTGGGGCAAAATGTTTTTGAAATTTCTGTTCACAACCCAATTTGGTCATGAACTGAGGCGTTCGTGAGCCAAGGTACCACTGTACTATTGCTACAGGAGTAGCAGTCTTGACTGAGCTGAGAGACATATTGGAATAATTCAGATGCTTGAAAAGTTTTATACCATTAATAGTTTAATTGATTAAAATAGCTCTCTTTCTGGAACCACAATTAAAATTTTCCATGGCAGGTGTTTTCACTTTGTTTGGTTTAGTCCTATGACAATATGGTAATGCACATGTTAGTAACACTTTCTAGAGCTTTCTTAATTTTTTAAAATTGTTTTAAAATATCTTTCTTTGAAAAAGATTAACATTATGAAATTATATTTTCTTGTGTGAAATATCCAATTCTGATAATCTTTGAATTGAATGTCATTGTTCCTCTCTATTTACGTGTGGTATGAAGATGGTCTTTCAACAAACTTGTATTTTGGAACGGCTACATAGCCACCTTTCAGCTTCCTGCTGAAGGTACCTCTTTTTATTTTGACAGAAGAGTAGCAGTTCAGAATCATTAAGTGATAAAGGTTCTTCTGAATTGAAGAAAAGCTTTGATGCAGTGGTATTTGATGTTCTGAAGGTTACACCAGAGGAATATGCAGTAAGTAATCGACAAATATTTAAAAACTGTATTGACTTGCATCTGAAATTTCATGAGAAGTTGATTGTACAGTTGGACTTCCTACCATATTCCTCAAAAGCCATTCTTGTTCTAGGGGCCCTATAGAGCTGTGTGTATTTCACTAGTGGGGGCTGCAGTGAAAGGGGGAAATTGGCAAACGCTGGACAGAAGTATCCTTGTGTAAATGAGTTTTTGGGCCAAGTTTCTCATTTCATGTCCCATTCCATTCCATTCTAGAAAGCTCCTCAACTGTTAAGAGGGATTTTTTTAAGGAGCATGGGGACTGCAGTAGGGAAGAATGAATGAGCAAGTCCTCTTATGCAATTTTGAATTCAGTCCATTGTCTTCATGTCTTTTTTGTGCATTTTCTGTAATTTTAATAACAGATTTTTTTAAAAAAAATATCAGTTTGCTATCACATCTGTTCCTCTTCAACTGAGGTTTGTCTTGTTCATTTTTAACTGTGCTGTGTTGTGTTTAAATGTTATGCTCTGCTTCTTGCTTGCTTGAAAAAGTAAATAAAGCTCCTGTGGAGCAAAAGTATCCATGGATTCATAGGGTTATTTTTGCAATATAGCCAAGGTTGATTCTTTTAGTGCTTTCTTGCCACTGCAGAGAGTTGCATCATCTTCACTCTTGAGTGAACTAGATAATGGTCTTCCTGTGGAAATGCTAACTGAAATTTTGTTTTGCATTTCTAGAATGGAAGAATATTTCCCAACTATCCTTGAAAAACTGAAGTGTGAGAGTTCTGTGCTTCACTTTGATTCAGTTTATACATAGCAAGAATCTCCCTTTGTTCTTTCCACATAGCTTAAAAACTTTAGAACTGTAACTTAGAAATGGTTAGAGGTAACAGAACAAGTTCTGGTATTTCCATATTCTGTTTTTCCATAGTACGTAAAATGACTCCTACTCCTTGCAGCAAGCAAGGACAGGTATGGTGGTCAGTATTACTCCAATTATACAATATGAATAACAGGCAAGATTAATGTTTGGCTAAAGCTATGTGGGAACTTGTAGCAAATACATTATTTGAAGCTAGTGCCTTCACTTCAGAAACTCCTGGACCAAATCAAACTAATATTCCAAATAATAGACATGCCTAGAGTTGTCTCCATTCATCTCTGAGCACTACATAGTACCTGCTTTTCATTATAATACCAAAAGTGTACACTTAGACTAAGTGTCAGCCAAATGAATGACCCAGTGCTAAATCTGGCTCAGTCGGGAGTGTTGCCTTAAATTGCTTACTTAAGAACAGAAGCAGTTGAGTGGAAATGGAATGAAAACAGAAAGCTCTGCAGATGAGCATGGGACATTTTGGCAAGTGGAAATAGTGCCTCCCCAATTGCTTTGTTAAAGTAGGCACCCAGCAAATCCAGTTCCTGACAAGGATTATGGATTGTAGGTTCATTAATGCAGGACTTAATAATGATTGTTTGAAAACAATAAATAGCAGGGTCAGTTGGATTTATTTTTCATCTCCACCTTATTCAGAGAGCCTTTGACAAAGTGAGCAACACTTAAAATAGTAAACACAAAATGAATGTATAAGTATCAATATTATGAAACATGTAAGTGGCACTTAGAAAATAAACAATTGACTAGCAAAGCTATAAAACAGTTTTACATTAGTGATCCTGTAATTCATGGACAGTGCAATCCAGTGTGGCTGCCCATAACCCTCCAAATCTGAAGGATTCTGGGCATCCTGTGGAGGTCAGCAAGAACACAAAAGGGGGAACCTCCATGCTTCTCTTACTCTTCAAAACACTTAGATGGCTAATTTCAACCATTTAAGTGTTTTATGTTGGAGCGTAAGAAGAGAAGACGAAGGTGGCAGCATCTGTCTCCTTACTTTCCCATCCATGGAATGCCCAGAAAACACTATCTCCGAGGTTTGCTGTTGTAATTTGTTCTTCCTGAGTTTCCAGTGTGAGACATCAGACTCCAAAGTGAAATAACATTGAGCTCAGCAGTATTTCAACAGATCACTGGGCCACTTTGCACAACAGGCTGGGCTCTTATCAGGTTATTTAATCCATGTGAGTTCTGGTTGGTGCCAGATGCGCATGACTAATTTTGAATATGCAGTTCCTAGCTGGGGGTCACAGTGTGGCATGTGAATCTAGCCATCCTGGGTTATTTGAAGCTTAAATAACCCTCACGGAACCCCTAGTGTTGTTTAATCCTTAACCATAGTGATTGGGTTTGCATGACATTCTTCAACCCCAGCCAGAATTTGCATATTGAAAACAGCAGCCACACACGCACAACATGTTGGCTCATCACAGGTTATTTTTTTCTTTTCTGTGAAGTTTCTGTGTGGAGGAATCAGGCAGAGGGTTGTTAGAAAGCCTGCAGGAATGATTGCAAACACATATGGTTGTAAAGATTCAGCTTGAGAATATTTTGTTTTTGTGTCTTTATATCCATCCTAGCATAAGTAGTTTTGTGTGTTTTATTTTTAATATTTTGAGAAGGTACCCATGGGAGCTGCAGTGTAAAACAAAGTGGATGATAGAGCAATCCTCAATTACAGTATTGTTAAAAAAACTGCCAAATATGATGTTTCTCAGATCTATTTTAAACTTGAGGTGTAAATGATAAAATTGAGAGCTACGGGAAAAAAATCACTTATTAACAGATACTCTAAAAGAAAATGATGATCAGATATAGTTATACTTTTAAGTTAAATTTGGGCTCAGATTTTTTTTAAATAAGTTCTATTTGAAATTATAATCCTAAAAAAAAAAAAAAAGAAAACTACAAACAACATCCATCATCAAAAACATCGAGCCTGCTGGGTCAGCCCCCACACCTTTCTTTTTCCATTTATGATAACTTAAAAACATATTTAAATCTAAGCCAAGTCCCATTTCTCTAGCCAACAATAAAAAGAGTCCCAAGTTTGATAGAAGTGGGCTCAGATTTAAAGATTGGTAAGAAAATGGTTTTGCGGCAGAAATGGACAAATAAGGCATTTTTCCTTTGAAACACTGGGTGGGTGTCAGTGATGAGTTTCGGACATTTTCTATTCTGCATGCCTAGGATGGCAATGCTTGTAGTTGCAGCATTTGGTAGTACCTGGGTTTGGCCCAGCCACTTCTACACCATCAAAGTTTTTGTCGTCATTGGAAGCACTTGCTGAGGCTGAGCAGGCAAAACTACTCACAGTTTGTCTCTAAATGCTTGATTTTCATGAATAAAAGCAGGGTTTTAATAGGGAATAAGGAATCTCCGTTTTGGTGTCGAAGCTTGTTGTGTGTTATTCAGCAAAACCACTTGTTTCATATTTATTGGACATCACAGTGTCTCTTTCATATGGAATTAATTGCTGGCAAGACAATGTAGCTGAAGATTGTTTTTAACATGTTATGGTTATGTTCTGTGGTTGTTTCTTTTGGAGAGAAGCTTATTATAAGGATAAATTTTGTGCTAGAGCTATCTTCAGCATTCACTGATGTAAACATTTTCTAAACTGTTTACCTGCATAAATAGATTTTCTGTTACATTTTGATAAGCTGATATCACAAAATTGGCAGGATAAACTCTAACCTCCGAAATTGCAGTAGATTGAGGTCCTTATAATACTTCTAACATTGAATATGTTGCATTCAAATAGAGGGATGGTCACACCATCAGATAATTATTTGATTATCTGGTCTGCTTTTGTGGAAGCCTGTGTATAATTACTAGTAAGTTGCATGCTGAAGTGTATGCATTTCATGCATATTTATTACTATGGGTATATACACATTTAGATATGTATGTTAAACTAAAAAAGAGCAGAAAGAAAAAATGAATTTTGGGTTAACTTTGTTCTCTATTGGCTTAATTTCAGTTAAACATAAGAAGTATGTGGGGCATGTTTTAGAAGATATTGAAAGTGTGAAGAGTTTTCAAAACTTGAACAATATGGGATTATCTGGTGTATCCAAGAAATATCAGATTCTTTAGGCCAGTTCTGTCCAATAGTATAATCCATGTTGAACCATGAATCAAGTTTTCTATCTATCCAGAAGTAAATTTCGCTCTCTTACATTATGTATTGAAATATCCCTAGATGTTATAAGCAGAGAGGGAACAAGGTGGATAAGAACCAGTTATTTAAAAATAAAAACCAAATGTTTCATTTAAAACAATTTTTGTTTATTTTCAGTCATCAATAAATACTAAATATGTTTCTAATTTTAAAAAAGCAAAATATAGTTAATTCTTATTACAAGTATGCTACATCTACCCTTACAATCTAATATAAATAGAAAACTAGTTACTTGCCAGTTAAGAATGGGTATTCATGTGTCAGTTTTGCATCTCATAGGAATAGCTTTGGCCTTCCTAACCACCCGCTTTCACTTTTTGAAAGTGATGGACTTTCAGTTTCCCTAACAATAGCCACATATGTAAAGAAACACAAGTTATATATTATTCTTTTTGCTTATGTGGTAGTGGGGCAAGCAAGGAAGAGAATTAGTTAAGACAGCAGGGGGCAATATGGGAGAGGGCAGTTGGAAACCAAGTAGAAAGCATAAAGTGGAAAGAAAAAGTGCTTTGTCTATGTGTGTTTTAGTTATCACTACATGTAATGTATTGCTGCAGAATCTAAAGCATGACACACGTAATATTGTGTACAGTTTCCTAAATTAATACAAAACAACTCAAAAGCGAAAAAAGATCATACTTGATGCTGTAAAATGCTTTACTTTGAGTTAAAAACATGCTTAATTGATCAGATTTGCACCATTGTTTAAGTATGTGAACTGCTATCTCAGGCAAACTTTAAATCATGGGTTTCTCTTAGTGATTTAAATCCATGATTCAGATTGTATGTCAGTTCACTCTGCGAGGAAATGAGATGGGCTTGCCATTTTCAATTGCTATCTCATGTCATTTGTAACTTTTGAACTTGCACATTTCATATAAAATCCACTATGTGCTGGTTATATTCTGAAAAGTCCTAAACAGCCTGGGACCAGACTACCCATAGGCCAATCTTGGGGTTGCACTCCCTCCTAAGGATAAGGTCTGCAGCTTGGGAGTGCTCCTCGACCCGGAGCTTTCATTGGAAGCTCAGGTGACAGCAGTGGCGAGGAGCGCTTTCCTTCAGCTTCGGCTGATCCATCAGCTGCGCCCCTACCTGGAGTACGATTGCCTAGCGACAGTGACACACGCGTTGGTGATTTCCTGCCTTGACTTCTGTAACACGCTCTACGTGGGGCCGCCCTTGAAGACGGTCCGGATACTTCATTTGGTTCGAAATAGAGCTGCCAGGCTGCTGACGGGGACTGGGCGTTATGTTCGCATGACTCCAGTCCTCCGTCAGCTTCACTGGCTTCCGATTGAAGTCCAGGCCCAATTCAAAGTGTTGGTGATGACCTATAAAGCCCTAAATGGCTTGGGACCTGGATATCTGAAGGAACGCCTTCTTCCATATTTGCCCTCCTGCCCCCTGAGATCTGCGGGAGAGGCCCTTCTCCGGGAACCCTCCATGAAGGAAATTAGGAGGGTAAGTACTCGGAGGAAGGCTTTCTCTGCGGTGGCACCCAATCAATGGAATGCGCTCCCCAGAGAGGTCCGCCTGGTGCCGTCATTTGTTTTTCGGCGCCAGGCGAAGACCTTTTTATTCAAACGTAATTTTAACTGTTAATACTATTTATTTATTTTATTCTTCAGCCATGGCGACTTATTTTATATTATTAACTTGTTTTATATTTTTTATTGTATAATATTTTAATTGATATATTTGTGAGCCGCCCCGAGGCTTCGGCGAATGGGGCAGCATAGAAATTTTCTAAATAAATAAATCTCCTTTTTATCCCAGCTGGACATAGCTATTTTCCAGAGGGAACTTTCTCTGTGTCCCATCAACATTTGCTAGGCTAATGTGGAGGACAAAGACTAGCATACTGATCATTTACAATAAGTCAGGATTCTCTGCACATACATGGCTGTTAAAACTGAATGAGATTTCTTTTCCACCTTTGGGTTCACAGAATCTGCACTACTGCCTCTCTACTTAAGACTTGGGTTTGGTTCTTCTCAGAGCTATCCTTACCCCTCTCTTTTTCTGTAATGATAGGTGAAATGTGGAATGGGAGACCATGGGGAGGGCTGGCCATCCTGAATAGGCATTTTTCTAATATGAAATGTTAACAAAAAACTCCAGTCTTGAAAAATGTATTTCAGTGGATTTTTTTCTCACACCTTTTTTAAAGGGCCAGATAACACTAATGGATATTCCTGTATTTAAAGCTATTCAACCAGAGGTAAGTTTTTCTTATATATTTACCTTCCATAACAGGTTCAGATTTCCTTATGTCAGCTTTCTCATACAGGGTTGCTTCCAATTTAGATACACTGGAATGAATGGGACCTAAGATTAGCATTCCATAATCTGTTTAGATGTGGAATGGTAGAAAATATTGTAAACAAATAAACCAACATCCCATTCATTTAAATGTTTCTACTTTAAACGGGACTAGCAGTGGATACAATTTATATTCTGGAACTCAAAATATGTGTATTAGTACATCCACAAATTTAGTTTTCCAACTCATGAATTTTTAAACAGATTGCTTTAGAATGTTTTGATGTCACTTTGAGATGATAACATTCTTTAGCCACCTAACTATATTATGTTAGAATGAAGTGTATTTTTGTTGTTCAAGTAGTTGGGACAGAATATGCTAGAAATGCGAGGGGAGTGTGTGTGTGTATTCTTGTGTAGCTTTGAATAGAAAAGAAATACACCATAAATTAAGTTCATATATTCTATGATAATATATCAGAGTGGAAGATTACAAAAGCATTATAGTTATTAGCTAGTCATAATTTATCATAATCACTGATTCTTCTCCCTTAAGTCTTCTGCGCATGTTAGAAATCATAGGGCAAGATAATCAGTGCTGCGAATGTTGCTCCAGACTTTGGATGTGTGTTTCTACTCAGTTGAAAGGCAGATAAAGGAATGGAGATTCAACACATGCCAGGTGGTGTTACACACCCCTGAAGACTCAGATTCATACCTGGATGATTCAGTCTTCAGCTTGGATGCAGAGGTTAAAATAGTGGCCAGGAGTGTCAATACAGCTGAGGCTAATGCCCCCCAAAGCATCTGTCATTGCAGACGTGTGTGCTTGTTATGGTGATACATGATTTCATTGCATCCCATTTAGACTACTGTGATATACTGTCAGATGAACATGGAGAATCATTTGGAAGCTTCAGCTGTTCCAGAACACCATATCAGGGTTAATTATGGAGAACATATGACTCCCTTGTTAAAGCAGTCTGTTTCTGGGTACACTTCAGACTGCTGGTTATGAAGTCTTACACAGCTTAGGGCCAGGCTTTTTAAAAGACCTCATTCTTCCATACAGGCCTATCCAGGTTTTAAGGTTTTTGTGGAAGGGCCTTCTTTCATTCACACCACAAAAAAAGACATGTTTGGTGGTATTCCCAAGGCCTTATTCCCAAGGCCTTATTGAGAGAGGCCTTATTGATAACTGTTCCCAGGTTTTCAAACACCCTGCCAAGGTGCTTAGTCTCTTGTCCTTCTCTCAGTGGGTAATAGCATTTTATTCAGGCATTTTATTATTGTCTATAATCTGAGATGCACTCAGGTGAAAAGAAAGTATGCAATGCAATGTATGCAATGCATACAGTTGAAACACAGAGCATGCAAAGTATGAATGAGAGCAAACTGGAAACTATGAATGAAGAAGTGAAACAGCTAAACATCACAGTACTTGGTATGAGTGAACTAAAGTGGACCGGAATGGAATATTTTTGATCAGACAAACACAAAGTGTTTTACTCTGGAAATGACAAACTCAGAAGAAATTGAGTGGTTCTAATAGTGAGCGAAGATATAACACAGACAATAAGACCTGTAATACAGTCCTACCAGATAATTCAATCAGCATTCTTAGAAAGCCCATCAACATAGCCATCATTCAGGTCCAAGCTCCAGCAACAGATGCTGAAGAAGAAATCAGAACTTTTTATGGGGTGTTCAAGAGGAAATTGATGACACACCAAAACAAGACATGCTGATAATTATAGGTAGCTGGAATGCAAAGTTAGGAAAAAGGTGGAATCCAGTGTTGTGGGAGAATTTGGCTTCGGGGTCAGAAACAAAGCAGGAAAATGGCTCACAGAATTACGTGACACCAACATGGTTGTAAATACCTATTTCAGTAAGCTGATCAGACAATTATACACATGGACATCACTCGATGGCCAATAAAAAAGGTAAAGGTTTCCCCATGACATTAAAGTCTAGTCATGCCTGACTCTAGGGGGCAGTGCTCATCTCCGTTTCCTAGCCGAGGGAGCCAGCGCTTGTCTGCAGACAGTCTCCGTGGTCATGTGGCTGGCATAACTAAACACTGAGGTGCAGGAACGCTGTTACCTGCCCACCAAAGTGGTGCCTTTTTATCTACTTGCATTTGCATGCTTTCGGACTGCAAGGTTGGCAGGAGCTGGAATGGAGCAACGGGGGCTCACTCTGTGAGCGGATTCGAACTGTCAACCTTTTGATCAACCAGCCCAGCAGTTCAGCAGTTTAACGCACTGCACCACCGCATCCCCAGAAGGCCAATGCAGAAATCAAATAGTCTATGTCACTGGAAGCAGGGGATGGAAAAGATGTAGTCTCACTGCCAGGCAATACCAGGAGCAGATTGTGCTAGTGATTATTAATTCTTCATATAAAAAGTCAGTTAAGCTGAAGAAGAACACCAGTTAATGCTGGGGTCTACATAAGAAGACCCCATAATACATAAAGGAATTAAGCACCCCATTGCATAGTAGTGCTCTTGTGTGTTTTGTTGTTGTTTTTTTAAAGAGCCTGCTGCATGGTCTGTTGTAAGGGTTAATTGGGTTGAAAATCGTCAAAGTTATGTTGGTATTCTCAAAGGCCAGTTGTTATTGATGTATTGTGAACAGAGAATAAGTTTTCAGTTAGGGGTATGTGGATTTAGTTGAATCCATTCCATCTGTGTTTTTTAAATTGTTTGACATATTTTGTCCCATTAGCCACTCATTGACAAATTCTGATTTTCTTTTGGGACGGGGAATTTACAAGAATTTACTTTCATTTACTGAAGGGTTCATTGGCGAAATCCCCCAAAAAACTAAACAATTGTCTGCACAGAATCCATGTAACTTGGAAAAAAACTGATCCACTGCAGAATGCACTGTGCAGATTCATAGAAATTCAAAGTCATTTGAATCCATTGTGGATTTCTCCAGCATCCTAGTATTTAGGGGTAGTGACTGAGGAGGCATTGTTCCGGTTGTCATTAGTGGCTTTTATTGAGTCATTGAGGTATTTTGGTTATTAACATTGACCTGAAGGTAGTTGCCCTCAGATTGGAGCCAACTAAAAAAAATGGACAGGCTTTTGAAGTAATAAGTATTCCGTGAAATAGAAATTGAATGAAAAAGCTACATGTTTGATTTAAATACAGTTTTCTTTTAGCTTCAGTCTGACATGACTAAAATGTGCAGGTGTGTTCAGTAAAGACATTTAATTTTTCTGGCACACTGTTGAATAAAACTATATCTGCATGAATAAATATTCTTTATAGTAATTAAATTTCATTTCTTTAGTAAATATCCTTTAAAGATGGCTTTCAAGCTACTGTGCAGTAAGCAACTGTTTAACATAATACATCCTCTCTTTAATGTTATTTTCATCTGAATATGCCCTTAACTTACCTTATGTTTAGGACTTGCAGTGTTTGTGGTATACTTAATTGTATGTGTACTTTTTAAACACACAAATTCTCCAAAGCAAGTGAACTTCTTCCAAAGGGAGTTTCTTATAGGAACTAACACCATGCCACAGTGTGGTAAATATTTCTTTCATGCTAATACAGTAGGTTTATTATAAGTACCTGGTAAATAGAAGCTGTACTGGGGAGATTGTGTATAAAATATCAGACATTCATCTAAACTAAATTAATGGAAGTTGCTATTTTAAATGTATTCCTGGATGAATTAGACCTTAGAGTTGTACATTTAATACTTTGTTTTTAAAATGAGCTTGTACATATATAATTAGCAGGATTTGTTATTCAGGGCATTTGTTAGTACAGAAAGCTGAGAAATGCATTTTCTACAAACATACATGCACCTCATCTTTTAATTTCAGTGAGTTGCTGTACTGTTTGTTATTTGGCATCTTTTGACACCAAGAATTTGTAGATAATGTGTAGAGTTAAAAGGCAAGCGGAGGGATGGACAGCAGGGCAGACAGAGCTCCAGGAGAGACAAAGCTGCCGGAAGGACCAATAAAAATGCAGACGGGGAAAGCTACACTTTTCCTTCCAAGTTCCCTTACTTTCAGTGTTAAGCTTCATTGTGGGTTAGTGCGAACGAACTAGGTGTTGGTGCAGTTGGTAGGCCTGTGATGAGCGTGTTTGCTTCCCTACAAAATATCTCTAGATATTTGGAGTTCTGGGATCAGACTAAAACTATGCCTCTCAGGGTGTATAGCTATAGTCTCTACCCTTGAGCTGTGTGGATGCTTTGCAACAGGCTGTGAGACATTTGAGCTATTTAAACAGTATGGAGTATCCTATAAATATTTATTGGAAATTATTTAATTTTATTCAGTTCACAGAGTTGGAAAGGGAAGCTTAAAGGATTTTTTATGAATGCCAAAGTAGAATATACTTCAAGAGCTGAAATATTGTGCATGCTCATCTGCAGCATCTTTAGAGTAGATTGAAAGTCACAGTAGCTTCATGATTGTGATGGTATTAGTCATCTTAATATACTCATATTAATATTGAACTAAGCATGACGCAGGCTTGGTATGGGTAAATTGCCCATATTGGACAGCTTTGCATAATGCTGAATATAACTTCAGTGCTTAAGATATATTGGCAAGGTAAAACATACACAGACACAAAATGCCAGGAGTTCTATTTCAGCTTCACTTAAAACACTGATCCATGTTGAGACTGCCTGGATCAGTGGGCATCATATGTTAAATTTCTAAAATGTTCAGACATGCAAGAAGATGTATCAGGCAGCTAACTATCAACTGTTGTTAAAGCATTGTCTGGCTGTTGCTGATCTTCTTGATGGCTTTGAACACAGTGCTTCAGGAAGGCAGAAAAGCAGATCTGTTCTAATACTGTGGTGATCTATTCAGTGAGTTCTTAACTTTATAGAAATTACTTGTATGTTCAGTGTACTTCAGTGATAAAAGAAAACTGGTCTCATTTTGAAATGTGAAGTAACAATTGCATCTGTCTTAAGCTATTTCACACTGTTAATCCAGGAGCTGTCAAGCTGTGGTTGGAATAAAAAGGAGAAATACAGTTCTGCACCAAACGCAGTTGCCTTTACAAGAAGATTCAACCATGTAAGTATTCCTTTTAGTCATTAAAAAAAAAACCTAAACACCACCCATTTCTTTTATTAACAAACCACTTGTAAAGCTTCAGCTTTGGCTGCATGTACATGTCTTTGATGGTGAAACTTTATTTTTATTTCATTATTAACAAGTCCTGTCTCCTGATAAACCATATTGGAGTAGTATGCTGGTACATTAGCAATCTGTCAGAAAGTCAGTTGCATCCATTTCTCTCTGGGGCACAAACCCTTTAAATAGCTCATTCCCCCATTTGAGTCAAGGCAACAATCTGTCCACAAGGCAGACAGAAACCTCACAAGGCAAGTGTAAGTGTGCATTCCCCCCCATCCCCCAATCAAGCATGAAAAATTGCATGCATGAACTGACTTTGGCAAAGTTAAAAGACATATAAATAACCTTTTATGTAACAGGTAACAAGTGTAGGTCTGGATAAACTCATAGATGACTAAGAAATTTTCAAGATCCCTTTTGAACCATTATAAAGTCATCAAAGTGAAAACGCACCTTCCCTTTCAATTCTCTCTCCCCATCCCTCCCTGGTTACTAAAACTAGACCCAAAGTTGTGATAGTTAAGCAATAAAGTTAGAAACAAATCCACTTGCCAAATTGCTTTGCAGTTTGATAATGAGTGAGAAGCCATAGGTAACAGGCCGAGAAAAGAAAAAAAAAGGAGAATTCTGTTTCTGGTCTGCAGTAAATTCAATACTTGGTGAGAGCCTGAGAACAGCTGGTGGGACAGTCATGGAGGTCTGGGATTAAACAGCAATCATAAGCATGTTTGTTTGTTTGTTTGTTTGTTTGATTTATATCCTGCCTTTTTCCTACAAAGGGCTCAAGGCAGCTTACATCATTCTCCTCCTCCATCTTATCCCCACAACAACAACTCTGTGAGGTAGGTTGGGCTGAGAGTCTGTGACTGGCCCAGAGTCACCCAGTTGGCTCCATGGCTGAGCGGGGACTAGAACCCAGATCATCTGAGTCCCAGTTCCATGCTCTTAACTGCTACACCGCACTGGCTCTCAATGTTTCAATTGAGGTTTGAATGGCAAAGGTAGATGAGCAAGTGATGCTTAGCTATTTAAGGCACCAAGTGTGTGATTTAAGTTTCACCACAAGGAACTGTACTTCTTCCTCCTACAAGAATTACTGCTGCCAGGGTGTAAACATGCAGTGGCTGGAAGTTGTTTACCTTGCGATATCAAGATCCTGAAGGTTAAGTTAATAGGAAACAGAAGAGAGATGAGGTGAATCAAAGGGATCTTGCACAATTTTATTTGCCAGCCGTGTAATTGAGAAGAAATGCTCAGAGACCATAATAGCTTTCTTCTGATATACTTTGAGAAGTCTTCAAGTGGCTCCTTGGAGGATGAAGTCATATGCGTGAAGAGGTGTTTTGTGTTCAACAAGATGAGAGTGATTTGGGTATGTGGGGGCTTAATGCTGTCGCTTTATTGCTGCCTAGACCCAACACTGCACAATGAAGGATTAAACGCATGGTCTGCTCCCCAGAACAAAAAGTGACCCAGCTGGGCTTCTGCGTTGGTTCTTACATGATTTAACAGGAATCAGCAGTTGTAAAATAGCAGGCTGGTGATTTTGGTACCTGAAATTAACAGTAGAAATTAAATTGACCTAGTCCCTCTTGTTTAGAGGTTTTTCCCCCAATTTTGTCCACAATCTTAGTACAAAAATGTTCTTCAGACTTTCCATGTAGCTCCCCTGTCTTTTGCATATGTAACTACAATATAAGAAAATCAAGGGGATGGACACATGGATGAAAAATTAATACTGTAGCCTTGGGAGCAGAACATTTGTATCTGACCTAATGTAGTTACTGTAAAAATTTATGAATCCTATGTAATATATAATAGATGGTTTACCTGTTTTGGCTTATTTATTTGACTTATTTTTGTTGTGTGGGTTTTTTTTTTACAGTAACTCCACTTTAAGACTACATCTAAAAATGTATGCTATAAACTATTACCATCTTCCACTTTTCTTCTATGCTCCCAAAAAATTACAACTAGTATTCAGATGGGAGCAGTAAATGGCTTACAGATGGCTTTTAGTAGAAGTATTCTGAATTTTAGATGTAGCAGGGGTATTGTGCAGTTTACTGCAATCTGTCAGGAGGATTCTAGCATTTCCACAACTAATCATGTAACTACTTCCACATCTGTAGATACCATGGTAAAGTGAATAAGTACCTACAAGCTCAAATTTTGAGAAGTGGTCAAATGGAGGAGGGATCAGTGATACAAAATGTTTTCACCTTTCCATTCTCTTTTCTGAAGAAAAGCCTGTTCTTAAGACAAGGAGACTTGTGTTTTTAGTCTCTGGAGTTGCTGCTATAGTGGTCTCCATTCTGAACACCTACCTTTTAATTGTTTTTCACAATGCTGAGATAACAGTAATTAAAAGAAGCTTATAAGTTTTACTTTTAAAAGATAAAAAATAGTTATACAGAATTGAAACACTGACCTGAGAGATCAGACCAGAGAGATGTCAAGAAAAATAGCTTGGACCATTCTTGCAGAATTTAAGTTCACATCAAAGGCTGTTCATAAGTGAATATAATAGTCTTCTAGCAGACATCTTCACAAATATATTCAGGTATTGTCTATTGAATGAAACGGTTCTGAATCTCTGTTTTGATAAAACCATGCCAATACATGGGAGTATATAAAATGGTCAGAGCTGTTAGAATGGGGGTGGGTGCAAAAGCCAGCATAAGAGCTGTCTTTCACAGTTTCTACTCACCCCTACAATTGAAAAAATTAAAAGGCACAACAAGCCTGAAATGGCTTGTGATGGTGGAAAAGGACTTGTTCCTGCAAATATTCCATCTCCCCTGGAATATTGCAGGAAGACTGAAGGAGGGGAGGGGAGCATCTGTCAGCTCACCATAGGTGGTTCACATGAGAAGAAAGGTATTGTGGCTTATTGCCAGGGTGGATTAACAATAATGTGCCCAGATGGTTTTGAATCCAGCAGATCTAGAGTCTCCTCTCCCCTCTGTGCTTCGCCCTTTCCACCTTCACTAGACTGTAGAACCCCCAGTCATCCTTCCGAGGGAATTTATATCACATAGCTCCTTCCAGGAATCACAGCATTGCTGTGTTAAGTAAAATTTATCCAGGCATGAATTGTGTATTTTGGTGATGCAGTATAGTCCAAATGGAAAGATCAATTTCAGCCATATTTATTGGAATGACCTGGGGTAGTAGAATACAGGAAGTTGATCCATTGACTGATAGAAGAAATTATGTGCTATAATTCAGTATTAGACCTCTTGTGCTCTATGGTATGTTGTGTTATTGGAGAACAGATAGGCTAATTTTAATGAGAAAAATGGAACTGCTATCAATAAAATATTGGTTGTAGAGCACGTGATACTGTTTATGTATGATCAAATTAACCAATATATTTAAGAGAAAACAGACAAAAAGATGGTAGATTTGTTGAAAAGTGGAGCCTATTTATAGCAAACTGGAATCCAAAAGTACATGATGTTGCTCAGCCTTATGCTCAATGTGGAGTGATTTGATACTTCTAAATGGATATAGTATCTATTGTTGTTTAAGCATGCAGTTATTGATGTTTGAAGTTGATACTGAAGAATCATGTGTGATGGGTGTGTGTGTAATTAGCACTCTGTGAATATGTACCCTATAGCTGTAATGAACTTTGAAAAACTATTGGAATGCTTATGGTGTTGATGAATTTGAACACTGAGCTTGAGTAAGAAGACACTAAACTGAATTAGAATTACTAACTGTTTTTAAAAATCTGTACACTTTCAATACCGCTAGCATTTTTCTGTCCTTTTGTATGTGTTACTACAGATTCTGTTTGTTTTTAGGTAAGTTTTTGGGTTGTTAGAGAAATTCTTCATGCACAGACATTAAAAATAAGAGCTGAAGTTTTAAGCCACTATATTAAAACTGCTAAGGTAAGAAAATCTTAATTAATCTTAATCTTAATTAAACTTTCATATCTAAGTTTGGAAATATAATAGATCAATATTTGGTTCCATTAACTTTTATTATGAAGGCATGTTTGGTTTGTCATTTATACAAGATGCAGCTAGGAATTTTAGAACAATAATCAGTGATACTTACTGTTGATTATTTTGTGGAAGAGTGGTTGAAAAGTAGTAAACTGTGATACTGCTAATGGGTTTGCTTGTGGAGTGGAATGGCAACATTACTTACCTTGGACACAATCCAGAGACTTTTCTGATCATATTCCATTGAAACTAACAGTGCATTTGTTGATTCTAGTGAGACCACACTAGAATTACTTGGAATTAAATTCCACATAAATTAATTGGATTGATTTCAAAATAAATATGGTTAGGGTTGAGAAGTGCATTACTTTCTCCCAGCGTTGATTTTTGAATGATACATCAGTAAATTTTGATTACTGGAGGCCTAAGGGCACAGTCCTTTGGTTGCTGGACAGCAGATGGCTACAGGAAATCAATTACCTCCCCATGAATACCAGTTCTTTGTTCGGAGTATTGCTTATATTCACAGGCTGATAATGTTAACTTAAAATTTTAATAGAAACTGAACTGCTGTGTGTTGTTGTTTTCCTCAGAAACTCTATGAGCTAAATAATCTACATGCTCTCATGGCTGTGGTGTCTGGATTACAAAGTGCCCCCATTTTCAGATTGACTAAAACATGGGCAGTAAGTAAACTACATATAAGTAAACTACAAATAACCAATTGGCTCTCTTTTCTTAACTATGAATCTTGAAAATAGTGGCAAAAGTTTCAGCAGCAGCTGAAATGACAATTCATGCTCTGAGACCTTGCTTCCTTCTCACTTCCAGTGGTCTTTCTGTACAGAAAAGCTGCACAAATGAATAACATGCCTGTCCAGAGTTTTTTACTTCTGCTCAGGTTACCTGAGATCAAGAAAGGCTTGAACTTGAAATTGAAGCATGTTTGGCCAAGAGATAGTTTGGAGATATACTTAATTCATTGAGCCCAAAAACCCTGATTGATTTTTGATCAATTCATTGGCTTGGCAGTAATGTGTTTCTGTTGTATGTTGCTTTTACATGGTTTTATCTGTTGTCCATTCAGATGTCTCACAGTTGGTTATAAGAGTTTTGTGGGATCCAGAGAATTAAATTTATTATGGTGTAAACTTCTATAGGCTGCTAGATTCAGTTCTTCTGGTCACGAAGTAGACTCTAGTCCACAAAGGTTTGTCATAATCAATGTGTGTTTTAATGTCATACAGCTCAGGTTGTGTTTTCTGCAACACAACAGCACATCAGTCCTCTGGAAGCTTCTTTTAATCCAGATATCTTAATGAAATACACATGTATAAGGATTATGGTTACTTTGTAGTCTTATGTAAATCCCTAGAATTTTTCCAGGTTATAACTTCACTGGAGATTGTTCATCCTTGCTTGTGCTTAAGTATTTGATTTAAATGAGAAATACCATAGTCACAAAAGATGCATGATTTATATGTTTTTTCTTCACGTCTGCATTTCTTGGTCTTCTATTAAATACACCGCTACGTCTGCATTTCTTGGTCTTCTATTAAATACACCGCTAGTGAGTTATTCAGTACTACTTCTGATAGTCATTACATTAATTTCACATGTATCATAATTTCATATTTTTCTTTAGGTAGTTCAAATGATTGTTATATTGTTGGAGAACAAAAATATAATTCTCATAATAATTATCTTTGATTCTTCCCCCCCGCCACTCTTACCCAAAGTTATTGAGCCGAAAGGACAAAACTACTTTTGACAAATTGGAATATATAATGAGTAAAGAAGATAACTATAAAAGACTTAGAGACTATATAAGCAGTTTGAAGATGACTCCCTGTATTCCTTATTTAGGTAAGATATTTTTAAATTAAACTATATCATAAAAATGGCAATGCCTATATAGTGCCTATGGACAAGATAATTTTTTTCATAAATCCTTTAAAATATTGGTCAAAACTTGTTTCTCTTGAAGGAGAATATCATGTGAAACTTTTTTCAGAAGTAGTGTCTATTTGCCACAGCTGGGTTATGTTAATAACCATTCTTCATATTGAGATAGCCAACACACATCTGCAATGTATGCCTGAAAAATCTATTAATTTTAACATGCCAGAGGAACATCTTTTAAGTTTGATGGTGGAAGTAAACAAGCTATCTTGTCCTTTTGAAGATGGTTCCCAATAATATTTGCAGTTACTTTAATCAAAAGAAACTAGACATATATAATGAAGTTATGATGTTTCTATTATAGTGATGTCAGAGTATTTGTTAACCAGTGTTCATTCCTGGCTTTGTTAAGCATTTTGATAATATGGACATTCATTTTAAACTTTCTGGGCTGGTAAAAATATAATGGGCCTAATCTCTTTAATTGTGGTTAAGGGAAAGTCTTGGTACCAGCATTAATCATGGTGCGCACTGAGCTGATTTCCTCTTAACCAGTGGCTTATTAAGGAACTTAAAAGCATGGTTAACTGGAGCACTTGGTTTATATTAACCTCAACTAAGATGGGAGGGGAGGAACTACACGTAGGACGTACATGGCAAGAAATTGAGGTTTTTGTATCCCAGGTGGCTATTTGTACCAGAATGCTGCTTTTGTAGTACTCTTTGCTGGATGCAGTATGGATGTGTTTAAGAACAGTCATTTTTATGGTCTTGGGACCATAAGATTGTTTGGATGCCCCCCCTACAAGGCTGAAGACAATGCTCCAGTCTCAGAAGGTATAGTCATCTCCTGACCCTCCTTCCATTCTCCCTAAGCCCGGTACAGAAAGAACCACTGTGACTGCTCTCCACATTCGAAAAAGTGATCGAGGAGGAAAGGGGAAGTTCTGGTAGGGAAGAAGGCCAACAAGGGCAGGATACAAGTTATCCTTCGCCTCTTCCAGCGTTATTCCCTCCCCCTCTGAATTACCTTCACAAGGCTGACTAAAAAGCCCATCTAGCAAAATCTGCAGTGCAGGAAGGCCAGGAGGCAGAGATCAGGGGCTTCTGACCACCAAGGTCACATTCCAATCTTGCCCTGCAAGATTTTGTTGGTGGTAAGTTTCTATGCCCTGTTTTTGGCTTGTAGAATCATGCATTGTGTTATCAGGCATCTTGAGCACGTCATGAAATTCTCTTGCGCTTAAGTGGTATAGGGGTAGCATGCCTGAGCCGACAGAGAATGTTATCGTATTATTCATGCATGTAGAAGGAAATTGTAGTGAGCTATTTATTCTGTATAAAGTTGAAACCTATATTTGAGGTTGAAAAATAGGTAATGGTACATGTAAATTTACAAAAGTTTAATCTGAAGCTGTGTGTTAACTTCCAAAATGAAGTTTTACAGAGCATATGCAAATAAATTTTTAAATATGGAGTTCAGGCAGAACTCAATTTAAAAGGTGTTAGAGCAAGAAAATTAGTTTGTGTCTTGTGTTTTCAGGAGGGATTTGATTTCATGAATTGTTTCCTCAGATACTTTTTAACTGAAAGTGGAGTTTGTGCAAAACTGTGGCATATCTGTGCTAAATGCTGCAATTTCTTATAGTAAGGAGATGGTAATTGGCAAAACTTTAACTCATTTTGTCCTGACTACTTGGAGAACTAGTTTTACAATACCTGGGAAGAAAGTTGCTGTTTCTATATTACAGCTTTGAATAAGAAAGCCATTAAAATAGTGATTTGTTCCATGATGCACTGTAGGAATTGGCAATTTATGTGTCATACCCTTTAGAACAAATCACTTCATGAATTAGTTTCTTATACTTTTTTGTTTTCCTCATAAAACATTGAGGCAACATACTTCATAGTCAAAATACCGCCCTAAGGAAGCAAAATCACAGGAGAAAACATTCCAAATCTGCAATATAACAATTTAATGTACTGTTTTATGTGCATGTTATTTTCCTAGAGAAAAAAATAAAGTATAAAATTACTGCATTCAGCCTTGCTATACACTAGCTCTACTGCATGTTCTAGTAGAAAATGGACAACTTTTATTTTCCTTCCATTAGCCATGATCCAAAGAGCATCATGTGAAAATGCAACATTCTTCTGTGTATGCTGGACATGGATTGTACACTAGTTTTTCCCTTTTAGTGGCTCCCCTTTGTGCCCTTCCAAAGAGTTCAGCATCCACAACATTTGGCTAGCATTTTTAGAGCCAAGAATTTTGGTAGCTATTGACCACTGCTCTTTGGGAGATTTGTTTCACTCCTTCTAGTTGTCTGTGGGAGCACCAGAAGTAGTAAGGAAGTACCTGTACCTCCTATAAAAGCCCCAGTTCAAACAAGAGAAACTACTACTTTTTGTACTTCTCTAATGTTTCATAGAGAAAGGTTGGTATGTTTCCCCCAGTTCTACTGGGCATTTTTGGTTCTTTTGTGGCATAAACTGTTGCTCACACTGATAACTTATGGAAATGGAGTGAAAAAATCCTATTGCATGGCCCTTTGGATCCTGGCCTTTTTATTTTATCTGAAGAAGTAAGGTACCTCATTAAAAATGGGTTTTTTAAAATCCTGAAATTTAACATAATGAAATGCATGTACTACTGCAGTAAAACAGTTCCAAAAATTATGCAAAAACAATTTTAAAAGTTAGTGCAATATGTACTTATCATGGTTTCTTGCAGTAAAAACATCAACAGTCATACATTTAAAAATACGTGATTTGAATAAAGAATTTCTCAGTGTCGGTCCAGGTGAAAATTATGGTGGGTACTTCACACTGTGCTCTTTTGAAGATTTTACACATAGTGCATAGTGGCTGCAGACCACCTAGCTTTTTTTTTTTTTAAAGCTTGTTAAAACCCCAAAAAATGTTGTATGGGTCTATCAAAATAATGCAAAAACAAAATCAGCATTCATCTGGTTGCTTGAAATCCTTCACTGCTTCTCCTGATTGCTGGAAATGAGGTTTAATGAAGGAAGAACACCCAAGTTAAAAAATGCAGTTCAGATACATTTTGGCCTTTTCAGTAACCTGTAACCATTGAACCTTCAAAAATTTAGATTAATAGACTGTGATCCCCAGACCTCGTTCCAGCCCAGCGCCTTGTTGTCTGCTGTGCTGCTATGGGAGGAAAAGACAAGCATGGCAAATGTTTCCTCAACATGGAGGAATTAAATATGTAAGAACTACTTTTCAGTCATAGATTGGCAATACCAAGTACTATTTGTTGTTGTTAGTCACGAAGTCATACCAACCCATTGCCTGTCCAAGTACTATATTCAGTATGATATAATTGTTTTTTTGGCAGACAGAGCAATTGTTAAGAGATTCTTTGAGCCTATCATTTGAATAAGAAAGAGGATAATCATTGCAGTAGTTGAATTTCTATTTAATGCTAAGGATTGGTAGTTTTCCCATTGTGTTAGGTTGCATAAATGCCAGGTTACTAAGACATCTACTAGCAAAACAGTTGCAACTCTATCTGAACTTCATTACTCACATCTTCAGTGTTCATGGAACATGTGGGTGCAGATTGATGCATCTGAATTATTTGCTGTATTAATAACAAGCAAGCAGTCTCTAATACTTCAATATCCACAACTATGTTCTAATGCTATTGTTAGAAAGTCCTTTATACACAATCCTTTTGGCTGCTTGTATAATAAGCAAGGTTCCCAAGCAAAATTTTACTTGAGAAATCACTGTACAATGCATTGATATGTGTGCAAGTTATATATTTAATTTATACAGTTCATGTCCTGTTATCTGCAAATGGCCTTTGATCTTTTCTGTGTCAACCTTTTTGGCAACCTAGAATTTATGGTGAAATATTTTGCGGAATGCTTGGCAATCAATGAGAATTGTTAGTCTGAATATACTAGTTGCAGTGATATTTTGTACAACTACAATATCCATGTGTCCTGAATATATTTTTAAGACAGCTGATGACCATATATGCATTAGTAATACATAGTTCCTGTTAGTAAGCACCCAGATCATAAATGAATTAAGCACTCCTAATAATTGTTGAACAGTATTTTCTTTCCATGAAAAATGCATAATATAGGTCATTAGGTTAGGACAGGCATCTCTGATATTTCTGGGTTGGTGAGTAGATTTGGAATTTTGAGAGGATGTTGTGAATACTCACACAAAATGGCTGGCACACACATAACTGGTCACAAAACATGTAACGTTCTGAAAGGCAAACTAGGGGGACTAAAAGTAAAATAATTTGCCCAAGAGCCTAAGTGCAAACAGAGGTGGGGTCTAAGTTCCAGAATTTAAAACAACTCTTTTAAACCCAAATAAAGAAGGTGTTGGAGGGTAGAACTTTGCATCATGCTAGGCTGCCAATTTTGGTAGACTCCAAAGGAGGTACTCAAGGCTGGCTGACTGATTTATCCATTGGATCTCTTCCCCCCACATCATTAACCAGAAGGCTCCCTGAGTGTGTGCCCACAAGTACCATTTTGGAAATACCAGGGTTAAGAGCATATCAGAGCCTCTGAATTCAGCCCTTCACTCACCTGAGGCTAATAATACTAACCTAAATCACTAAAGGATGTGTAGTAATTCAATAAATTACTGAAGAATGTTGAGCACTTAGAAAAAGTGTGGTATAAATACTAACATTTTTAAAGTTTTATTTAGAATTAAAGTATAAACTTAAACTCCCTATCCCAAGGGTAGCATAAAAGCTGTACTATACAATAGTTAACTCTGTAAAAAGCAGTGTCCGATAAAAGCTGTCGTATACAATAGTAACCAATGCTACATTGAAATAACAATGCTTTATTTGATGCAAAATATGCTTGCAAAACCAGAGCTTCTTTCTGGTTTTTTGTCTGTTTGGGGCCTCAAAAAACCAGATCTCCACTTTGAAACAAAAACATAAATAGTTTTAAACCTATGAAAATGAATTGATTTGCACACTTAATGCACAAGGACAGTATCTCATACTTTAGTTTCAGAGCTCAGCCATTCAATATTCATAACTTTTTCTGTAGCTTACATAATTAGTGAGCTTAACGAAAGCCCATACATCTTGGATTGATATATGATTTTAATTGCAGCTTTCTCCTGGTTTGTGAGCAATTAAGAACTTGTATAATGAACATATACAATGTTGCAACAAGAAATGTTCAAAAAATACTTTAAGGAACTCTGCAGAACAAATGCAACATCTCTTTGAAATTCAAGAGCAGGCTTGATTTTTTTAAACAATTGGAGTGTCTCAGTCAATGGGCCTGATCATCATCTGAACTGCTTTTAAGGAGTATGAGCCACCTCTATACTCAGCCCAAAATATTCCATCCTGGTGCTTGCTTCTGTAATGTCCTCCTCTGTACCACACTCCATTGAGATTAGAATGAGCACAGGCATTGTACCACCAACCTCCTTTATGAAAATGAGCACAGTTTCCTGTGAGAAGAATCAAAACATTAACTACAATTTCACAGCACAAGCAAATTATAATTTTCTTTTAATCAATGGAAAGTTAACCTTGCAAATAATTTTTACCCTGTCTGCATTTCTACAAACTGTTCCTCTTCCTCTTTTTAGTGATGGGTGTCACAGTATCAATCAGGAGGAAATACATCCCTATTTATGTGTGTACATGTGTTCATGAACTATCCATCATATACTTAGAAGAGATTATGGGAAATTGGATTTGCCCATGCAGATTTCTTACTCTGTTACTGTTCTCACATTGCACACAGGAGGGAAACACATACCGTAATTTTCCGTCTATAAGACACCCCCATGTATAGGACACCCCCCCCCCCACTTTTCTTACCATCTCCGAGCGAGCAAGCTGCTACTGTGCACACGCACCTGCCGCCTCCCCATGTGCACGCCCACGCCAGTCACCCCCTCGACCATGCCCACGGTTCTCCTCTCAGCCCCCCATGTATAAGACTCCCCTCCATTTTTAGGTAAATATTTTAAAGAAAAAGTATCATCTTATACACGGAAAAATACAGTACATGTCAGCTGCCCCCCCAAGTATATTTGTCCTTGGGAAACAGTTTGACAGTACATAATTGATTTTAAATCTGAGCCTTGATGTGGGTTTATACTAGTCTTCATGCTTTTAAATTGCTAATAAAAAATATTCTTCTAGCCATTCAGTGTGTTACAAAGCATAGTTCTGTATATCAGTAACTAGTATATTTGTAGCCCTTTTCAAAGGCTGAATCACCTCTAAATCAAGTCACCACTTGATTTAAGTTGTAATGCCCTCACATAATGAGGATGGGTACTTTTCTCACGATAGAGCAAGATGCAGAGGTCTAGTTTGTTCTGACATGGCAAATGCCAGTTCTCAGCACACTGTTTTAGTGAGGCTCATGGAGCTTCAGCACCTAGCTGTACAGAATTTTAATCAAATAAATAAATTGCTGAAAGCAGCATGCAAGTTGTGCATATTTGTGGGTTATCCTGCATGCAGATGCTTTGCATAAAAGCCTACATTATCCATTTTAAACTGAAGGTGTCTTCTATGATTTCATTTAGAAATTGTTCTGTACTTTAGTGCTTGATCAGAATTATTTCTTTAGTCTTGAAACATGCAAAATGTAATTTGCATTTCCTACCTGTGTACATATCTCTGTCTCGATCCAGTGTTGTAAATTGTTTTCCGTTGTGCCATATCATGGAGTCACCAGCATTCCCTTGGTAAGTGCCTAGACGCAATCGATAAAATTCACTTTCTGGCTCCAATCGAAAACTGCTGTATTCTGCATATACTTTTTTATTACTCCAGTCTTCTAGTTCAATCAGAAGTCTGTAATTGTCCTGATTAGAAAGCAAGTAAATGTTTTCCAGTCCCAGCCAGTATTCTCCTGCAACATTTCCAAATCCTTTCTGTTAAAAAAAAAATCTGATTAGTTCATCTTGCATTTGACATTTAGAAAGGTCTTCATGTATATTTAGCATGCGACAGAAAACAATCATGGTCCTTTTCTTGGGGTAAATTAACGATTGAAATTTCACCTTTGGGGACAGTCATTGATTACAAAGTCACAAGTATGTATTGTCCTTGTTCTTGATCACCCCATTTTGCATCACCCCATGTTCTGTGATAGTTATACTATCTGTTTCCTTGCATTGCCTCCTATGTTATTGACCGGGGGGGGGGGGGGGGGGGGGACATGACTCACAACCTTAATAATATCAAGATACTGTGCCCGATACTACAAGGCCCAGATAGCCTCAGTGACCCAGTTTACACAATCAAAACAAGCATCCATCGCTTAAATTCCCAGTGTGTGCCAGGCACTGTTTATTTCCCTAATCTGCCCAGATGCAGCTTGTATATCATCCCACTCCAGGCAGCATGACTTGCTTGAGGGTGCAACAACTCTCAAATAATCCACAGACTGTTTTCCAGTGGCATTCCTACTCATTGCCTTGTTTTCTGCTGTTAGGTCCCATCCTCTCCAAGCCATAGGCTAAGCCCACATTGGAGCATTACGTGTGTACACAGCATACCAGGATGGAGGTAGGACAAGGACAAATACCCGGCCTGAACAAATCAGGATGTCATGAGGGTGCAGAGATTTTACTTGCCACGCTGCAACTGCTTTTGCAGGTTGCTTCTCCTCTGTGTCCATTTTGTTTGTTTTCTCAATAGTAATAATAGGACTGCAGTGTTTAGTCCATGAATCAGTAAACTGACTTAAAACTTTTATTCAGCTGATAAAGTGTTCCAATTGGACAACTTTTTAATACATTATTTTGAATCCATATATTTATAAAAACTGCAAACAGCAACCTTTGTTTTAGAAGAATCATTCCTTCCTGTGTTAGAGAAAGAAGAGGGAATGGCTCCTTTTAAGATGTTTGCTGTAACGCATACATTAATCATCTCAAATTTTTAATTTATATATTAGTAAAACCCAAGAGTTCTGAAGAGAAAAGGCTTACTTTGTGTTGATTGTTTTTAATCAATCAGCATCACAATCCTGTTACCATTTACTTAGAAATAAATTGCACTGTGTTAGGACTGAAGACTAAAGAGTGCTTCCAGGGAAGATGCTTACTGTGCAATCACCGTGTCTCATTCACTGCCTTGTATGAGGAATCCAGATGACAGTGTATTCAATTTGTACCCTTTCCGTATTTTCCCACAATGTCATCCATATTTTTCCTTGCCAGAAAAAAATAATTGAGGAGGAAAAGATGAAAAACCTGCACAGTGCCTTTTGATTAGTAGCATCAGATGCCTGCTCCCAATGTGAAATAAAATCATCTTTATTTGTACAGCAATTACTATAAAGTTTTAAATAAAAAAAATGAAAAGATAAGTTTTTGTCCCAAGACTCGTGGTCTTAAATACTGACAAGATAATAGGAATGTGAAATTAAAGTGCAGATTAAGATTTAGTGAGAGTCAACTGCAATAACATTATGTAGCATCCATAAAAATGACATCTTTGTCTGCACATCATGACTACCCAGGGCTTAACCAAACCCTGTGTTAGCTATGCATGAGCAGGAGCATGCTAGCTTCTGCTCAATTGCTGTGGCTAAATTAAACAATCTCCAGATGCTGTGTCCTTCAGTAGTTTTTTGTTGACATCCAAACCCAGGATTGCAGGTGTTTGGGGGACTTGTAACAACTCATACCAGTAATCCATGGGCAAATCATGAGCCTGAAGTCTAGGTTCTCCCCACCAACCTTCCAAGCCCAGAAGGGTGCATGGAAGCAAGCACATTTGTTCACTTCCACTTCTTTATCAACAATCCGGAGTTACTTAACAACCTGTGGGTTGTTTATGATGTGTGAACTGGGTCAATCATAGTTAATGTTGATGATCTTAATACTAGAATACTAAACTAGGCACAAAAAAGTATCTGGCCCAGGTATGCCTTTCAATCATGGTCAGGAGAGACATGCAATTTCCATCTTACATCTACACTTCAGTGTGTTTGCCCATATGTAAAAAAGGTTACCTTGTAATTATCCCAGTTTGTGAAGAAATTCACAGAACCATCCATTCGCTTTTGTATTACTGTCCAGCCCCCAGGATCAAGGCTGTTCTCACACCATAACTGCACTGGCCCATGGCTGTTCTCAGACTTGATCATATAAATCCCGGTACTGGAATAGCCAGCTTGTTTGGCTTCTTGGCAGTCTTTGAATGGTCCTTGTGAAAACAATTTGACATTGAAAAATAGGTTGAGTTTTGTCATGATTGCATTGGAGGTATAATGCTTCCTTCGGACTGTTAACCTGGCATGTGTAAGGATGACCAGATACAAGAAACTATTCTGTGAACAGTGCAGCCTATTTTGCTGGTACTAAAACTATTACTAGAACGCTAGAACTAACAGTTGTCTGACCAGCTGTTTCCAACTGTTCTATTGGTATAGATTTGCCTTTCCCCAAATGTTTTTCATCTGTACTTCCAGTAATTAGGAAGCCCTTGCCTGCCATTTAACTACATATACCTGTTCATTACATGTCAGACAAACTATATAATAAAACATTCTAATAGGTAAATGCAATTTTGGTTTGTATTAATGAAAATTAGTAAAGGAAAAATGGTTTACTTAGAAATATACTTTAGCATCACATAAAGATGACATGCGTAAAATAAAAAATTGCTTATTTTTAAACAGAATATTTCTAAAGATTCTTAGATCTTAATAGCTTAACAGGAAATAGACTATCCCTTGTGATTAGACTTGTAGTCCTAATACTTTAAAAAGGAGAGATTTGATTCTACTTACCAAGTTCCAATTTGGTATTGAATACAGTATTTAGGTAAGAGAGGTCATGTGAGCTTTTAATAAACTCCCTGGTTACAAAATCAACATACGCTTTTACACCCAGTCTCCCAGTTAGGAACATCCAAATTAAGAACAATCCTTACAAATGAGCAAACCTGGAATGAGCTCAAGTGGCAAGCAGCACCTGTGAGCAGTGATCATCAGGTAGTGAGGAGAGGAAGGAAGGCAAGACTAGGAAGGCAAGGGAAGGAGGAGGGGAAAGGCAGTGAGTGACACAAGGCTGAAACAGAAAGCTACTCTAGTGGTAACCACCATCCCAGCAGTACAACCTTGACTCTCCAACACCAGTCCCATCTCCATCATCATCTTCCAGTTAATGTTTGGCTTAACGTTAGCTGAATTGTTAACCCTTTTTACTATTTTTTCTGTCTTTATATCTAAACTGTTATAAGAACTGTACCTACCTACATACAGATTCTTTCTCTCTCTCTCCAGTAGCTGTAGTTACTTTATTACTATGTTGTTATCATTATTAAAATGCTGTATTTTGTATATAAGATCTGTTAGTGTATATGGAACTGTTTCTTCCATGTTTTATATGCACTGTATATACACAATCTGACTTGCATACAAATTTAAATTAAAGACATTCTCGGGAACAGAACTCGTTCTTAACCTGAGGATCAGGGGTACATTTTATTAGCTCATAGGTAATATTTAAGGTCTCATAAATTTGGACTCACCATTTTAATTACCTCAATATTAGTAAACATTCCTAAAATATTAAAATATGCCAAAATAAAAAGTTTACATATACTTCTATTTTGGATTATCAATTTTGGATTATACCTTTGAAGATCCTTATATAAATTTAAGTCTATAATTTTCAAACATCAGCATAGCAAGCTTTTTAATGTCTATACCTCACACAATAGTTCTTGGTCATTAATTTACAAGCAGAAACCTGAAGTAGAACTTAATCCGCAGCAGCACTGTCACTCAGAGTGACAGACTCTCAAGCATGCATGCTAGCTTATTAGCAGTTCTTATGGAACAGAGGGGCAGCTTAGTTTTACTGTCTCCAAAAAGATGTTAAGAATCTGGTCCTAAATCCTCCATGCTTAGTGAGGCTCATGGATTAGCCAACCAATAGATCACAGATTGCCACATTACTGACTGTGGTTCTAAGGCCATGATAGCTGCCGTCTCTCTCAAATAGCATGCATGGCTCTGTATCTCAGGCCTTCATCAGGGGGGCAGATCAAGGGTACGAGACATTCCATTCAATGACAAGGACCCACTGATGGCACCCATGGATAACACCCTCAGCCACATTCACAAAAGGAAAATGTCAGCTCACAAAATGGGAGTGGTCGCTTCACCAGAGCCATAGTCTCTTGGGTCACTTTTCCTCACAAGGTATCTCTCTTCCATAACTCTGGAATGAGGTGACATAGGCTCATCCATCTGCACCCATGAGGTACTACCACCCTCTTTGCATCCTTACATGGCATAGTCATCTTCCTGTAAGCCTTACTGCTTTTCAGTAACCCTTAGGTGTGAGTCACAGAGACCAGAAAAGAATACACGGCAGTATTCAACTGCTGGGATTAACTTCCAGGCTTGGCTTCATGGTTGCTAGATTATCGCCAAGAATGTGCTGAATAAAACAGGGTTATTGAGTACAATATTCCTGCATTCATCCTGCCCTCCAAGTAACATGCAGCCTTTATTTCTTCACTGGCCACCATTATTACTACAATACTTTTAGACCATAATTCCTTACAACTCACTAAAATGTTGTAGTAGCCATGTACATACCATTAAAAATATGAGTATTAAGCTCAGTTTCAATTTTCCTTTAATGATCATGCCCTTACAGCTAATGTGTGCCAACAGCTAATGTATGTGGAAACGTTAAGTATCCACAAATGGTTGACAGTTTGATTCAAGCATTAGTTCAACTATTAGTTGTCTGAATGATGTATTATCTTTAAAATAAATTCAGTCTTTATGGGTGTAGGAAAAAAAACTATCACCAGCATCATTTCCTATATTCAAACATTATAGAGGCTTGCAGCCATAAGGGACTATCTGCACATATATATCTTAAGCACAATTATGAGGAAAGGGATTAGGCCTGCACTGTCCAAGGTGCATCTGGAAAGTAATTGCTTGTAACAACTAGAAGAGATGAAGCAAATAAATGGGTTGGGAGAACAGCATGTGTTACTTCCCACCACCAGCCCTCTAACAAAATGCCCATCCGTCTAGCTGCCCTACCCCTTCCACTTTTTTAATTATCATGTTCTTAATGACAGCTGGAATTGCTGTGAAATCGGTTTCTGTTGGTGCTGAAAAGGAGTTGTTCAAAGGAATTGTTTAGTGTGGTGGAGCTTAGATTCCAGCTCAGAATTTAGGATCAGTGCCCCATTTTTGAGGTTTTGGCAGGTCAGCCCTACTTGAAAGCAAAGAAGTATGTGAGGCAGGCTTTGGGGCAGAAGACGGGCATCTGAGGGCAAGAACAGACACATTTTGGCTGGTGTATTGTCCACTTTCACTATCAAAATGCTTCCACATAGCTTTAAGAAATTAAAAAAAATGTTCAGATGCAGCTTATAGTAAGTGCCTCACCTTCATTGATTAAAGTTAATGGTGGAATCTTGAAAGGGCTTTTTGTAGGTGTCGTAGCTGGATCAGGAGGTGGCCTTACATCTCTGTCTCTAGGATAGCTGGGATCTCTCTGAATTTCATTACTTCCATGGAGTCCTGGAGTGTACTGTTGACTGTTAGGAATGTGGTGTGGTACCACTGGAACTAAAGGTGGAGAACCATGTGTGTCTTGCCGTGAGAATATCCGTAGGCACTGTTCTTCCAACAATGAGATGATAACTGATTGATTATTGACAAGATCAGTTAATGCCGCATATTTTACTTCAAGCTCTCTATATCTTGATGTCATCTTTAGCATTTCGGTTGTGACGTTGAGGATTTTGTTTTCCAGCTGGGAAAGCTCGAGTGAATTGTCCCGTTTGCGGATTATCTCATGTAGGAGCTGCATATACAGCTGAGTTACCCGGGAATTCATGTTACGGCTCTCTTTTCTCAGCAGTTTTACTTCATTTACTATATTGCCATCAACATCCACCACTAGCTGCAAGAGATCAATCTCTCGCTTTTGTTTGGATAATACATCTTTCAGATTCTCAAGATCCATTCTAGTAATTTCATCTCTTTTGTTCTCTGTACTTGGGCCTCTGGTGTTGACACAAATTGGTCCAGTTATTTTTTGTTCAGGGACAATAAAAGTGTAGCCACATTTTCTCCCCTCCTCTCCTGCTTCTGTAGAACGTGGAAGTCGTCTCGGAGAGTTTTTATTGAGCTTAGACTGTTCTGTATAGGGTCCATTGGATAATAATAGTAGTAGCAGCAAATTCAGAATCCATGAGAATGTTCTCATTTTCAAGTAAACTGCATGAAGAAAAATAAGACAGTTATTTTTAATATAAAGACCTTAACAGTACATTAAAATCAACACCAGTCTATCAGAGGCAATAAAGAATAATGCTGAAGCTTTAAAGAATAATGCTCTTCTTTATTAACAGAAGATGAGGCTCCTTATTTAGAGTGGTGGATAGTATGCAGAGTACAACCTGTAAAATTTTGGCTTGTTAACTTGCTTCTAATCACATGCAGCAAATTAGAATAACTTCTGGACCAGGTGATCAGATTTTCATTCCCTAAATAAGAGCTTCCTTCAAATGAATTCGCTACAATGTGAAGCCATTTCAGCATGGTACAATCCCATGTTGCATGAGCCTGTTTCACGGGAAGGATCCACACAGTCCCCATTCATTCTGGTTATGTGGTTCATGTGTTTCATTGCCGTAGCATGAGATATCACCACACTGGTGCAACTTCTGTGCTGCAGGGTGTGTATGTGAAGGGATCCTGAGTAACATAGTGGTGTAGATGACCATGCCTTTGCAGGCCAGTCATTTTTATGGTTCCCTTTGCAAGACTGGCATGGCTAGCAGCTTCAAGTTAGCTTGCTTATATATAAAGTATGACTAGCTGCTTGGAACCTGATGTGCAAGCAGACTTACCTGTAACTGTAGAAAAGATGACATAAATTTAAATATGCAGTTGGTTCCATAAATGAGTAAGGCAAATATAATTTGAGGCATATTACGATAATTGAGGAGTGTAAGAATTTACTGTGTCCATCTTTATTTTCAAATCCAATACTGATACAATTCCCACGAATATTATATTCTCATTGGTCAGATATTTTCTTTCTATATGTATTATACACAAGGAAATCAGTGGCAGATTGCTTGCTCTGTGCTTACATGGGCTCTAATTTGGCTTCTTTGTAGATCATAGTGGATGAGGATGTTCAAAACCCTCAGCATCTTGTGAGATTTCTTGTTTCTTGCACCACCATCCTATTCCACAGGCATAATTCAAATGTGTCAGATGAACTGAGTATCTGGGGTCAAATGGTACCTCCCACCACCACCTGTAGTAAGATGGCCCACATCAAATGGACTAATATTTTTCTATAGCAATCTTTTTTCCAGACTCCACTCCTTGCCCCAGCTCCTTTAAATGATGGTATCAGTTTCATCAGAAAAATACCAGTTCATGCATTTATAGAAGAGGTAGTAAATTATTTACAAGAATTGTAATAGAGATTGCCCACCTACTTTATGTAGCTTAAAGAGGATATATATTTTAGTTTTTTTGCCATTCATAATGTGAAGTAAAAATGGACAAGTAAAGCTGAAAACTGTCCCTTCTGTTGGCTGATAGTTTTTGTTCCAAGCAGCATGTTAATGCCATCCCTTTGCTGCTTCCCAGAGTTTAACTATCTGTGTCAAGAAATCCATTTCCTCTTTCAGATGCAGCTACCTGTAAAAACTCCCACTTCATAGGCCTGCACACATTCATTAAAACATCAGGGCCAGAGCAGACCTGCCAGATTAGACTGAATGACTTTAGGGAGAATTTCATGTCCCTTTCCAAAAGCCTGAAGAAACAATTCAGCCAGCTAGTGATTGGTTAAGGAGGCTTGCCTCACATTGTGGGAGGCTTTTGAATATCAAACAAGGGAGAATTGAGTGGTTGCTGCCTTCTTTTTTGCCTTCACTTCTTGTCTTTGTCCTCAGACTCTCTAGATAAGGGATTGGGCCCTGCCCTGTTTGTGGACATGTGCTTAGGTAATATAAAAGGTAGGTGCAGGTCGCTTCTGCTTTTATTGACTGATTTCTTTGCCTACTGCGTAGTTTCCAAATGTGTTCCATTTCTTGTATACCTTTCATTCCTTCCCCCATCCCTGCCCTTCCTCTGCACAGATAAGTGTAGCGCATATTGCAAGGTTTCTTCCAAGTAAGTCTTTGTTCTAAATCCAGAGACTTTGGCATGGTCAATTGTTCCTGCTTAACCTTTCAGCCTAGGGCTTTAGCCCTTGGTACTTAAGCCCTAAGAAATAAGGGCTAAAGTCTGGGAGTCCCTTGGATCAGGCAGAGGTGGATGGAAGGGGCGGTGGCAGCCTGCCTGCACTGCCAAGAGCTGGGGCAATCCACTCCCTCCCTGGCTTCACAGTGTGCTTATCTGTGAGGGGATAACTTGTCAAATGGAACCAGCGTTAATATTTGTTAGGTTATATTGATGACCTCCAACCAGTATGTTTTAATAGGACACCATAGCATGTTTTCACCATGCTATGAAAACTACCTAAACAACCTCACTTCTGTATCGTGCAGTGTGATATGGCACCTTATAGGAAGATCTTCATCCACAAAGATCTTCCCTGTTACTCAGGTATCATTGATGTTGTTTTGTATACCATGCATATTTATTTATGTACATATTTTAACTCTTCCTATCAAAATAGTTTTCTCTGTGGTTTGCAAATCATCAAAAGACTTAAAACATTAAACATTTAAATTCCAATGCAAATATTTAAAGCAAAGTACAATGTAAAACAACAAAAAGATAAAACAAATTGAGCCAATGTGATGTAATGGTACGTGTTGGACTGGTACTCAGTAGACCTGACTTCTAGTCCCCACTCAGCCTTGAAGTTCACTAGGTGACTTTGCGTCTGTTAGTCACTCTCAGCCATTAAGTTCACAGAGTGGTTGTTGTGAGAATAAAATGGAGGGAAGGGGCTCTATAAGCTTTCTTGGGTACCTTGCAAGGGAGGAAAAAAGGCAGCAGCGGCAATAGAATAGCCATATTAGTTGAGAATCATGTCTCTAAAATGCATGTGAGAAAACAAAAGTCTTTGCCTGACACTGAAAAGAGAACAATATAGGTGCAAAGTATTCTCTTTGGGAAGGCCATTCCATAATGTAGAGACCCACAGCTAAAAGGGCCCTCTCTTGTAGCTATCTGCCTGGCTTCCTTCTGAGGCAAACCTTGAAAGATGACCTCAGAGAATGACTAGATACTATTAATGATCAGCAAAATTAACTGATTCTCTACTGCAGTCCATGTGCAGGAACAGGCAGTCCCTGAGTTACAAATGAGTTCTGTTCCTGATAATGTTTTTAAGTCAGATTGGTATGTAACTCGGATCTTGCTTCCTTTTCGCACCAAGGAAATGCTAGAAGGATTTCCTTCTCCAGATGGGCAGGGTAAGAAGGCATGCCTTGGAGGCCCTCCCTCTTTCCCCATTCGCTTCCTCCCTCTCTATGGTGATAATTTTCCACGGTAGACCACAAAACTCCAAAAGTTTCCACATTCGTTACCACAAACTGTTTGTCTTTAACTAGGATTTTAAAATTAATAGGCTTTATGGCAGTTCATGCATAGGTACAGATGTGTATAACTCAGATGTGTATAACCTGGGGACTGCCTGTACTGATAAAATGTTACAGTAGAATATTAGAAAAAATTCCAGAAATACAGGAAACATAATTTAAATTTTGTGCCTGGTCTGAGTAACATGATGAGATCTTGTGCAGTCCTGCCCAAAAATCCCTTTTGTCCAACGTACCCACACTGTATGTGTACTACCCGGTGATTAATTACTTAGGAGCTGAGGGCGAGTACAATGCAATAAATATTTGATAGAGAAAGTGCCCAACCACATTCACATATTTTATTATTGTGGTGGTTAATGTCTTATTGTGTCTAATTTGTAAATTAAACTTTATAGCATGTACAATATATAGTGTTTGCTACTATCCATGGTTTCAGGTATCCACTGGGGGGCTTGGAACCTATCCTCTGCAGATACAGGAGTCCTACTGTATAGTTTATTGTATCAATATTTACAGCTTTTGGATATCAGAAAATTCAAGCTGACTTCCAACCATGCATCATTTCAGAGAAGATATATCAGAGGCAATCTGTATCCTGTTTTGCATTTTCTTTCAGTTAAATATGTCTTCATTGAATTTGAGAAAGTGCTAGGCAGTTGAGCACTTTGAGATGCACCCATATAGGTACTCAGAAGAGAATTTCTTTGTTTCTTTGTGCCTCGTCAAAGCATAAACTAGTCGTGGCTACAGCCAGATAGAAGCTTTTGGACCGATTCTGTTGTCATAGTGCATTTGGTTCAGTGTATGATACATTGATATATGTATATCAATGTATCATATATGTATGATATATGTAACTGATATATTTTAACCTTTTCCTCAGGTAAACACACTTGTGAGTGACAATGCTAGCTGTTTTCCATGTCGTTAGATATCAGTGACATTTGGCTTCATATGCAAAGGCTTCCCTAACAATTCCATCTCAAACAAGAATTTTTTCCGTTTGCCCATATAATAGCTCCAGGATTATTCTTGAATTTTCTTCCTCCTGCTTTCAGATACATGGACTCTGCTCTGTTCTTACCTTCTCAGGTGCTTTGTTATGTGAAGAAGTTTATACTTTAACACTATCTATTTACCTTGTGCTCTATCACTGTCTACAGAATATCTTCCATATTGTGTGTCCTGAAATGATCTTGCCAAATTGAATCCGATTTGCACAGTGCTAGTATAAAAACAAAGGAAGCAACTAATGTGTTTCTCAGTATTGGTTTCTTCGTTTTCTTGATACGTTCAAATGCACTATCATTGTAAATAAAGATTTGGTTATTTATTTATTTAAAGTTTTTCTATTCCATCCCATTACTAAAAGTCTCTGGATGGCTTACAAAGAACAAAAAGCCAAAGAACAAAAAAAACCACCACCACAACAAGTTTTCTCAGGGCTAATTCCTGAAACTTTCTTAATAAAGTTTGCTTTTTTCCCTCAGTAAAAAAATATATTGTTGATATTTAATTAGTAACAAAATATTTTAAAAAAGCAAAACTGTCCTAACTGCATTGCCCTAGTTCAACAAAGGCATCTGCTCAGGATTCATTAATATTGCAAAAAACAAAACAAAACAAAACCAAACCAAAAACCTTATCTTGTTGAAACTGTACGTGGAAAAATAGGTTTGCAATGGAATAGTAAGTATGAAAATTTATTCTAGCATATTTTAACGTGTGCACAAAAAGCCATTTGTTACTTGAATGGCAGTCTTCATATTAAAGTGCAGAAATCTTAGGGGTGGATGCTAAGCTGCAATATAGATCTGCATTCATTTTGCCATAAGTGGGAATGTTTCCATTTCTCATACCTTTCTGCATCATTGAATCTGGCAACATTTTGGATATCTTAAAAAACAAACTCCTCAGTCCCTGCCAAATATTTATAGTCTGAATAAACTACAGATTCCAAACCTAAGGTCCAAATGTGTTTGGTCTCATATAGTTGACTGATGAGGGAGACCATAATCTTAAGTGTCTTGTTCAGTTGTTCTACTTGCAAGTGCTTGACCTGAAATATTATATTAGATTATATCATCTGTTTAATAAAATCCTGCTGTTTCAAGTCATTGGCGGTTTATTCATCATCTGTGAAAACTGAGTTACTGAATGGAGGCAGTTGCTTTTCTTTAAGGACCAACACCAGAACTTTTCATTTACTTTTCTTATTATCTGCTTTGATTTCTTAGGAAACAAACAGCACTCATAGGTACATGCATTTATCTTTGAAAAAGCGTTCCTCTTCAGCACTTGCAGTGCTAAATTCTTTACTGTTAGGTAGAATCTAGAAAAGCAATTCATAGGGGTGCATGTTTAAAATGCTGTTGTATGTGTGCATGAGATGGGAGGAGCAATTTGGAGAGCCTGGTTTGCTTAAATTTTAGTTCATGCATTGATTATTTGCTTTGTCGTGTGGTTGTCATTATTTGATAGCGCTTTTGGTGAAGTGAACTAGGCATGTCTCCATATAATGGCAATTATACAGCGAACAAGAGCCACAAATGCAAACCTAGGTATTCCACTGTCAGTAATGAACTAGCAAGCACTTGGATTTCTTTATCTCCAATAGACTATAGTGAAGTCAGTCTTGGAGTCACCACCAATGTGAAAATCAAAGCAAACATCTACAACTAAACTGTAGCTTTCAAGGAATATTTAAATTTACTTTTACTAATGGTTAAAATGCTTCTATAAGCAGACATGGGCATGCTGAAAGAATATATTCCATATAATTTCTTTTGAAATCATTATTTAAAAACTTGGAAGTTTTGAATTTTAAATGCTCTTGAGAAGTGTTAAATTACACCCAAACAAAAACTGCAAGAATGACAGTCATTTATAGTTGCTTAAGGTCTGATATTTTTTCCATACAGTTAATTGTTCAAATGAACTGCTGATCTCTTCATTCATACTATCACAGATAGCTGCATGAATTCTGTAGACCTGGTTCCTTCCAGATATTTTGGACTTTGAGTTCCATCAACCCCAGCCAACCTAGCCAACGGTCAGGAATTTTGGGAGCTGTAGCCAAAATATCTAAAAAGCACCAGGTTGAGGAAGACTGCCCTAAAGCAATCTAGTTCCCCAGCTAGGTGATGTAATAAACAAGAAGCTTATATTCCATTTTGCTAAGAAAACACTATGATAAGGAACTGAACTTTTTAGCTACTGCACCCATTTATTTTATGTGCAATGGTACTTCTTTGAAATGGGATGCAAAGCATAATTTTAAGCACCAGTTATTTTGCCAAAGTGTTTTCATGTATTACGTAAGTGTTTCTGCCCCACTGCAAAATGAAAGTTCATTGTTACTTTTATTGGTTCTATGATAGTTAGGCCTTTCAAAGAAAACCTCCAGAGCTTAGAGTCACCTATTGCTCTTTATTTACCATGAAGATTACAACAATTGAGTGAACTTGGGCTGCACACGTTCAAAATGATCAGTTGCAGTCCAGGATCACTTCTATCTTATGCTGGATTTTTTTGTTTCCCCCTTGTAGGCTATTCAACAGTTTCTGAGTTTTTCAGACTACAGATAGCATTCCTTGGAGTAAGTTAGTTCATTAAAAATTATCCTAAGGAATTTGCTTCACAAGTAAGGATGCGTTGAATTGCAAAGGGTAATTCAAGTATGCCTGCGAAGCAACATTTTTAATGAATAAATGATCAAAAGTATTTGGTTGCACAATACAAATTGTTCTTCACAAATAGGGGAAATTAAGACTTTAAGTGTAGATTCTTGCAGCAATTAATATAGCTAGAAACCTGTGACAGTACTTGAGACATGCTGATTTATTAGTTTCATTTCCTGTTAGTCGGACCTCCCAACTTGATGTTTCAGTTCTAAGAAATACCAAAAATGCTTAGAGAAGTTAAGACTGTTCTTTATGATAGTAGTCAGGTAGCCAATCCCCCCCAGCCCCAAGTCAAATTGTAAAGGGGGAAGAACTGGAATTTTCCCTTCTTCCACTTTATAAGTACAACACAACTCAGTTGTTACTAGTAACATTACACATACTTTCTGTAACAGAGTAAAACAAATATAAAGTTAGGCAAAATAAATAAAACCGAAACAGTATGCATATTTATAATAAATTGTATGTAAGTGCAGTCTTGTCCCTATGCAATATATGGACAGTACTAACTTCAGAAAAGTTGCAGGCATATTAAGAACAAAGAAAATAGGTAAACACCAACCTTGCAACAACTTTTTCCTTTGAAGTAAAAATCCAGAGGCTTTTTCTGTGTATATTCTCCTCCTGAAGTCAGTACAGTTGCCCAGTAATTAATGTCGTTCTAGAGAGAACTGTTGCTTTGGCTTGCCATGTATTACATCCAAGTATGTATCACCCCATTTAATTTAATAAGAGAATTAACTATCACAATCATTTTCTTCTACTCCAAAAAACACAGACATTTTTTGAAGCTGCTCTGCTTTTGCCTTGTACTTGCATGCTGAAATGCACTAACCAGCAACAGCTGACCTTACTTCCATATACAGCACACTTGGGTGTGTTTCTTAAACAAATGCATGCCTAGGCTTAAAAGTCAGCCCATATATGATGTCACTGAAAGGGGGGGGCGCCTCCAAAGGATTTCCTACCCGCAACATTTGGAGAAGAGATGGAATTAGGGGGAGGGTATGAACAAGGAGAGATTGTTTGCTTATTTAAGGGGGAGCAGCAGATGGGGAAACAATAAGATTTTGGGCAATTGCAAAACACTTTTGCTTTGTTCTCTAAAAGTGCCTTTCATGTCGTTTCAGTAGTGAGCTGAATTTTGAGGAGAGGTTCTTTTTGTCTGATAAACTCAGTTTTTTTCTTTCCAGGTTGCATGAATACGTAGAACAGTAACATGAAACATTTGTAAAACTGAAGAGTGCAGACCAGCATGTCACATTCGATTCTTTTAAGTTTACTTAATGAGAAACAGTTCTTACTGCAGTGGTAATAAAGAAATGTTATGGAAGTAATATAGTGTTAACTTTTTGTGTTACATAGGCATAGAAATATGTAGTGGGGGGGGGAACATTGGTAATAAAAGAATGAACCACTTGCAGCCAAATTAAATGTTCAAATAGCAAAAGATTCCATATCCAACTGAAGCTGCATTTGATGATTTACTCACAACAGTGTCCACGTCATTTTACAGTTTTATTTTCAAAGGAAAAAATATTCAGTCCTCTTGTCTTTTTAATCTATTAACCTAGACTGTATACTTAATTATATAATTGTTTAGGTTGGTAAATTATTGGCCACCCTTCAGGCAAGAACCCTGGGAATGTTTTGGGAGGAATTAGCCATTTGTTTCTCCCACTGAACCTCTGCCCACCCAAGCACATTCCCGTCAGCAGCCCTCATTCTGCCAAACTGTTAAGCTTAACAAGCAGGCAGGGAAGATTCTGAATAGTTCGAGGCCCAGAATACCGAGGCTCTCCACTTCTGAATTAAAGCTGGGAAGAATGTTGTAGAAATTGTCGGTTTGAAATTATTGTTTCCTGTACGATCAGACCGCTTTGGGGTTATTTTCTTGATTTAATTGGAAAAAGAAACTAATCAGTTTTGTCCTCTGAAATGTACAATTTAATTAGTATCTGTTGCAAGCATTATTCTCTGGTTTGGTTTGGTTTGGTTTGGTTTTGCATACTCTTGTTTGGCCCTTGGGTGTTTTCTGAGAGATCTATAGCACCCTACTCATTATTCCCCACAGCCTAGTTTGATCAGCCATAGTAGTGCAGTCATAGCAAACTTGCCTATATCAGGATCATTGGGGCAGAGATATCAAAGGCATTTCCCCTTGTCCTTACTGAACCTGATGAAGATTGCTGAGTAGGAAGAGGCTTCAGTCTGTCCCCTGGTTCTGCATATATCAGTAACGGGTATCTGTATATGAGTGGCCTAGCTTCATCCACCACACGACTTGCCCACTTCTGGGTTAGAAAAAGAAAGTTAATAACAGAACTTAGGGTAAAGATTAATTGTCTGTTACAGCAGGAGCATGGCAACTTTTGTTAAGTATTTTTTTTTTAATTTCCATATTGGGTTGGAGGTGTTTTTACGGGTTCTCTGTGCTTTAATACAATGGTTACTGTGTTTTGTCATACCTGTAAGAGGTAATTGCCATGGTATTCTTTTAAATCTAGAATACAATGCAATAAATATAAAAACAATGGATTCTGCGACTACTTAGCCTTGTGATATTCTGTGTTAAGATGATGTATTGGCAACTTTATTTACATAGCAGTTGGGGTGGGAGAACATTTCAAGGCAGTACAGCCATAATGGCCGGCAGGGATATTTTTTCGATTGTGTTCATCTTACATTATCTTTATTCCTCAGTGGATGGGTATTGAATAGGCAGACTGCAGATGTGGCATTAGTTTCAGGGTGTGGACATGTTATGAAATGGGGGTCCTATTTCATGCTGATTTACAACCCCCATTGACACCTACCAAGAATGTCCCATCGCAGCCCCCCCCCCAGTGCTGGAGTGACGGTCAAGTTTTCCACTGCTACCCGTCTCCCTCACCAATACCTGTTGTTGCCCCTCAGCCACCCTCCTGGGGTATGTGACATTGCTCCCTGCATTTTATATGGTATACAAGCCCATGATTGCAAAATGAAATTTTATGACTGTGGAACATCTAGAAAGTAAGAAGCCTGAGAACAGCAAACATTGTGAAGAATTCCTCTTAGGTAGTTCGGTCATATCTAAAGCTAAAGGTGATGTTTGATCACATGGAGGTATAGCAGTTTAATTTTTATAATTAACAGTTAAAGACTTTTAACCTCCAGTGGTAAATGTATTTTTATGTGTATAAAATTTTGTTATTTTAATACTAAGTTCTGTCATAAAGGCAGAACTACATGTTTGATTTCCACTCGGAAATTATGTTTCTGATTTAATTCTCTTCCTTTCACTGCCCTGGATGAACAAATCTCTTTGTGATCTTCTGTTAATCAGGTATTTATCTCTCAGACTTGACATACATTGATTCAGCATACCCATCAACAGGGAGCATTCTGGAAAATGAGCAAAGATCAAATTTAATGAATAACATACTTAGAATAATTTCAGATTTACAGCAGTCTTGTGAATATGGTAAGTTATGTTGTGCACTTAAAAACAGTATTCTCATACTTCATAAGCAGTGAATAAAGTTGTTTGAGTATAAAATTCAATAAGGTTTAATCGTGTGTGTTTTTGATTCAAAAGAGAGAAAATGGGTTGGGAGACGAGAACCACACAATAAAACTTCTGACTTCATAAAGAGCAAACCAAACCTTTTGCCCTTGACTTACACAAGTCATTTTTGAAAGTTAGAGGACTTCCCAAAATACTGTAAGATAGAAAAATTGGAACATGTCAGCTATTAAGACATATCTATTCAGAAGTCTCAGCAGACATTCCTAGAAGTCTCCTAGCATAGTGAATAAGTAAAATTGTATTAAATAATAGCTCTGGCATTGAACTGATGGCACTGAATCAATTTAGATTCAGTATTATCCATAGATTATGGAACTGCAGGTGGTCAGTGGTTTAAACCGCTGTGCCGCTGGGCTGGTTGATCCAAAGGTTGCCGGTTCGAATTCGCACGACGGGGTGAGCTCCCGTACTCTGTCCCAGCTCCTGCCAGCCTTGCAGTTCAAAAGCATGCAAATGCAAGTAGATAAACAGGTACCACTTCGGTGGGCAGGTAACAGCGTTCCGTGCACTTCGGTGTTTAGTCATGCCGGCCACATGACCACGGAGACCATCTGTGGACAAGCGCTGGCTCCCTCGGCCAGGAAACGGAGATGAGCACCGCCCCCTAGAGTCAGGCATGGCTGGACTTCACGTCAGGGGGAAACCTTTACCTTTTATTATTCATAGAGTAAACCTTACTAAAGGATGAATATTTCTTTGCAATCTTTGATACTTCAGAATGAAAGAAATCATGTACACAAGGCAACCAAAAGTGACATGCATGGTAGGACTAGTTTTTTGAAACCATGGCCTGTCCTAAGGTTTCCATGCTTTATCATGGTTTCTTCAGTCATCTGGACCCCGGGATTGCCGTTTTACCATTGCTGGTCTGAAAACAGCATAGAATCACCTGGCAAGAGCAGCTGTGTAAATCAGTGCCTCTAGCTCTCATCTCTATTGCCCTCAGCTTCCTAGCAACAGATGCATCATTGTTTGCTTTACCATTGGCCAAGTGATGTGCCCATATTCCTGTTTATTTTTGGAAACAGAAACAGTGTGAAAATACATGAAGGGAGAAGGAGGGATTGTTGCAAAACTCTTTTTTCCTTTACTAAAAATCTCTGTGGTGGCCAGAGCATCAGGAAAGCACCACAAATATGCTGGTAAACTTGGGATGGGGAAGGAGAAAACCCACCTAGGATTGCAGTGGACTAATCAGAAAGAGGCTTTCCTGACTTCAGCCCCATGTGGATCTGAGACATGGAGTGGAAATACCATATCCTCCAGCTGCTGAAGAAGTCTACTCTTGAGCAGCAGGCAGGCAGGGAGGCCCAATCCACTCTGTGCCACTGCCCCAAGCACAGTGTGGCATTGCAGAGAGGAGATTGATTTGTCCTGTCAGCTGGAGAGAGACCTTGTTCTGCTCTGTGTATTACCATGCCGAGCATGGTGCAGAGCAGATCCATGCTGCCATCTTGAGAGAAGACCTCTGTAGCCATTGTCTGAATGTTTGCTTCACTCTGTGCTGCTGCCATGAGCGTGGGCCAGTGAAGCGGGGCTAGCATCCATGCTACCAGCTGGAGAGGTCCTCTTGGCCCAGCAGCACAGGTGATTGCTCTGCTCTGAGCTGTGTGGCAGACCTGGGTTGTTAACACAACATCATGGCTTGTCATTACATGTGAAGCTCCTTGTGTGTTATTGTGATTACTGATCATGATAAGAAACAATCATTGCAACAATGAGTGTGTTTGCCTGACAGCCAAGCAGTATCAACAGTCAACCGTTGGTGGTTGTGTCATGCAAAATGTGTTAGTGCATCTATGAAGTAGGATATGTGTCAGTTTAAGCATTTTGCTCTTTAGAGTAGCAGTCACAATTCCGTGTATGCCAGAGATCCATATGTGCACACTTACAGGGGTCTCCATAGCAGTCTGTAGCAATAGCTTCTATTGTGACTTGCCCATTTGAACCACCAAATTGGTTCTAATATTTTGGTTGACAGTCATAGTTGCCCAATTTCATATTGGAAATTATTACTGAACAGGACTGTGGGGATACCAAGTGTTCATTCTCATTAAATTTCTCCTTGAAGGTTATTTCTTTTTCTTCATGTCCCCCAATATGTGCACCTTTTAAAGTACCTTTTTCCCCAAACAAAAATGTGCATTTTCACAAAAGCACAAAAATGCATTTGAAGGTGACACTATGTGCACTTTTGCAAGTCCACACTTTCATACATGACTGCAAGTTTTGAACCTTGTGATTTTTTTAAACTTAGAATACTGTTCTTGTTTACACTGGCACTTCCACATGGGTTCTATAAATATGATTGGCAAACAGGGATGGAATTCTTGTATATCCCTACAGGATAGTATCAAAAATGGAACTGTTGTTCTCCAATTATTGTATTGCCTTATATTATGCATTGTGATTCAGTTATCATGAATCTACTTTAGGGAACCGACGGTATATAAATGCCTGCTTTTCTGAGAGAAAAAATATTTATGGAAAATTATGCAGCTGCACTAATAATGGATATAAAATGACTGAGATACCTTGCTTTTTTTCTAGATATTCCTGCATTACTTCATGTTCAAAAATACTTGAATTCTGTTCAGTATATAGAAGAACTTCAAAAGTTTGTAGAAGATGACAATTACAAGTGAGTATAAACAAATTATAGGGTATCACTTAATGACTTTTTCCCAAGGCATTTCCATAAAGAATAAATGAAGGTAAGAACAAGCCCCTGCCCTTTGTTTCAGAATTATTTGGATTTTTCAGAATTTCCCTGAATTGTAGGATTCTGTTTTCCACAAATTATTTCTTGTATCTCCCCTGACTTGCAACTGAAAGGAAAGCTATAGCAATGGTAGGTGTAGTGCAAATAGTTACTCAGGGGAATGTTTCCTGTGTCGATACCCCTCTCCTTCTCCCTCACTCCCCACAGCCTACTACCTCTGTGTATTACCTGCATTCAGTGCGAGGTCCACCAATACAAATGTGCACAGGCCTTTTAAAGTCAAGGCTGGCAGCTGCTGTAGGCATTGAGATGCTGCTGTGAAACAGCGCTGTGGCAGCTGCTGTTGTGCACGTCTCTGTCAACCTTACAGGGCAGGAGAAAACCTGAAGGGAGCCACAGTAACTCTGACGTTCATACGGCCATTCAAAATCAGAAATAACATTGAAAAGAAAACCAAGTTACATAACCTGACATCTAGTTTAAGGAATGTGTGGTTTCTTTAAATAATAATGAAATTTAGCCACTGGATCAGTTATTTTAAATCTCAGTCCCTCTGCTTTTGTTTTTTACAGTTTGAAATGGAAGACATCAGATCTGCTTTTTATTGGAAAAGGAATCCCTCCATTTGACCACTAAACAAAATCCTATTTTTCAAAACTGAAAACCTGAATTTCATGTCCTAACTTGATACCTTCATTAAAGATATAACTAGCAATTCCCATAAACTACTAGAAGGTTATTTGCCATTTAAAACAAAGAAAGATTGTCAATGCATTTTTTTTGAGAGAGTCAAACATTTCAGCTTTGGACTGCTGCATAGGGCAAAACATGAATAGTAAATTTATATCTTAAATTTCTTAAGGATAGTGTGACTGATTGCCTTTCCCTGCTCTGTGATCTTGCTAAACATTTTTGTTTGTTCCTAAATACAGGCTTTCGTTAAAGATAGAACCAGGAACTAGTACCCCACGGTCTGCTGCCTCTCGTGAAGATTTAGTAGGTAAATGTTTATCAAAAAGCATTCTGATTCAAACATTTTAGCAGCTCCTTTAATTTTGTTTTAGAATTACCAATTTGGGGTATAAATCAAAGAGAGGGTAAGGGCGCAATTCTGTGACTAACCAGGCTGCTTGAAAAACCACATAGCCCTGCAGCAGCACCACTGAGAAGGCCCTTTTTGGTGCCTGCTCTCAGGCTGAGGAACCCCCTGCTAAGAGAAGCTAGGGTGACCCCTCTCTATCCATGTGCCAGTAGGTGCAGGCTTTCTTATTTGGGCAGGCCTTTGGCACATCAGCTGATCTGTTGCTGGAGGGGTTATCATTGGTTGTATCCTGTCTCCTATTGATGTATTTCTAATTCCGTTTTAATGTATCTGTCTTTATGTTAGGTTTGGATTACTTTTTAAATCTGTATTTTATTTTATTGTTAACTGCATCATTTTTGATGAAAATATGAGATACTAATAAAATAATCAGTACTAGTCAGACTGAGCTAGAATCAGTTCTCATTTCTTCTTCATTTTCTTGCAGGCCCTGAAGCGGGAGTTTCCCCACAAAGTGTACGAAAAAACGCTGCCGCGGAGGGAGCACTGCTACCACCAACGCCTCCATCCCCTCGGAACCTGATGCCACATGGGCATAGGAAATGCCACAGTTTAGGATACAAGTCAGCATTTAGCTTACAATTCAGCTTAGATACAGTGGCTGCATTAGCAGGCTGCTGTATCTGTGAGTCAGAGTTTGTTTATCCAGAGAGTGTCAGTCTTTCAAAGGAGGAAAGTCGTCACCACTTGTGTGGCCAGTTCTTGGTTTGTTTTCCTTCAGCTTTTTCTGCAGGATTTGTTAACCCGTTCTTTGTCAAACAAACCTGGAAACTCTGGTTTGTTTAGTGGTTTAACAATAAAGAGTTAAATATGGTTTGATGGGGCATTTTGGCGTTGTTTATTAAAAGTGGGAGTTGCAAGTGGATAGCAAGTTGTGCACTCAATTGTTTCCACACAGCCCTGCCAATTTGTAGGTTAAACAAAAGATTGGCCGTGACATGAAATCTTAGTGACAAATCTTGCTGAAAGCAAGCCAGAATTCATAAACCAGCTTCAAGCAACAGTGTCGAACTAGGATCGCTCCCTGGGTTAGGTTTAAAAGCTCACACATACAAGTCCTAGCTTAACATTATGTGTAAACCAGACCGTTATGTTAGCATCCTGATTGCCATCAATTATTGCTCTGTTTGATGAAACCCAAAATGATTTTAGACCCTTTTAGATAGTTTAAAAGGGTCTGATTCACTCTTTTAAAATTTGGCATATGATACTAAATTTTAAATGACAAAATACACACAAGGCAGTGTGTGTTGTGAGTGGCTCTCGTGGCAGGGAGCTAATTTCTGTTGCAGCAAAAACCAGCTGTCTAAATATGTAGTACTATCACTGAGGGTCCCACTCATATATTTTTCCGCTTGCGCCCAAGTTTAGAATTGCTAGCATGATTCCACTCTTTGATGGTCCCTGTCATATATTCTTGTCGAACTGCCTGTTGAGTTACTGTATAAATGTGTACTAGCAAGTGCTGAACCCTGTTCTATCTTGCATGTACTGTCTTTGTTGCAAATTAATGTGCTGAAGTCATTGTTTCATCTTTTGTTTTTGTCTAGTTTCATTCATAAGATGAATACAGCGGAGTTTAAAAGTGCAACGTTTCCAAATGCAGGACCAAGGCATCTATTAGATGACAGTGTCATGGAGCCCCTTGCCCCTTCACGGGGGCAGGCAGAGAGTTCCACTCTTTCTAGTGGAATTTCAATAGGTAAGATGTTAATACAGATTCATGAACTTCTTTCAGCTTGAGGACAAATTTCATTTCAGGGAAGCTCTTGGGAACCACATTCCAATGGTGGCTGGAGCAAAAGAGGCAGGGCCAAAATTACTGGCATGTTTTAGTGCAAAGCTTCTGCTGCCTAGGAGATATATCTCAGCCTGAAAAATGGGGCGTGGAGAGACTGCACAAAGCCAGGAAACCAGCTAACAGATGGAGTCTGGGCAGGAAGGGAAAAGGGCATGGCTGCTTGGAGAACCCCAAAGGGTTTTATTGGAACTCCACATGGGCCGGATTTGACCCCCCCCCCCCCCGGGGTGCTGCAGGTCTGTTTCAAATGTACTGAAGCAGTGAAGAGGATTTCGAGGTATCTAAACACATGCACTGGGACAATGCTGCTGCTATAGGTCCAATAGGATAGTTTTCAGAAAATCTCAAGGCAACACATTCCACTTGCTTCTGACATGCTGTTTATTCATTACATTTACCTTCTGCCATTTCTTCAGAGAGTTCAAGTATACCTAGGATTCACAGAGAGTTTTCCATCCAAGCGTTGACCAGATCTATTTTCAGGTCATGATCTCATTCAATTATTTCGAAGACAGCAGTCTTCTTCCCTCTCCCTCCTCCAGCACATCTTCTAGATGGCCAGAAAAGGCCATCTGGATGAATTGCAGGGTGTAATATTACATGGTGCCTCCCACTGGATAGCCATAAGCCTGTTCAAATTTGGGTGTTGGCCTGCATCCTTAATCTGATAGAAGATGAGTTTTCTTTGGCTTATGCTTCATTTTAGCTGCTGCAGCATCTTAACACATATATACTATTTTCCACAAAAGTAACAAAGCAGTGAATTTAAAGCACAGTGGCATAAAACAATAAAAACAAGACAATAGGATTAATCAGAAGTAAAACTGCAGTTTACAGTTTACTACAAATCATAGCTGGCTGGATCATACTTTAGGGAAGGCCTTTTTAAGGCGATGAGTTTTATCTTGGAAGCTGGAGAGTATCAAGCTATTTTACTGAATATCAAGCTTGATACAATCCAACATCTGCATAGAAGTTCAGCTGGAGGGGTATACCGGTGCGCGCGCACACGTGTGTGTGTGTAATCTGAAGTAGCCCAGTTTATTTTGAATTATTCCTGCGCACAGGGTTATTTAAAGTATAGGAGTATAGCTAAGTAAGAATTTATGAAAGTGGCATTTCACATAATTTTGAAGTAACTTTCCAGTAGAGGTGTTAAGTCAAATAAGAGATGTAAGCCAACTTGGATGTTTACATTTCAAATAATATAATTAATTAAGCCTTGGGAAGTTGAGCTCTTATCCAGAATTTCCATCCCACCCCAGCGTATTTCAGAGATCATTTTGGCAGTATAAAATGATTCTGGCATTGTCTCAGACATCACAAAATCAGCCCAGATTATGTATATGCTCAGTGAACAAATTCTGTGTGCCCTTCAGCATATCTGGAATACTAAGGTGTTTGGGGGCGTTTTTTGCTGTACAAGGGATTAGGTACTTGTACTGGCATCAGTCCTAGAAACTATTCTGAGTAATGTGTGTCTTCATTCAGATGGAGGATAACATAAATGGAGGATAACATAAAAAGCCAAATATTTTTACCTTAAAGACTAAATTCATAGAACATTTATAGCTGTAATAAAATGTTTAAAACTATGACTATTTCAAAAAGAAGCTTCCTTTTTAAAATGTTGACTTTTTGAAGCACTGAGTAATTTGAATATGTGAGGATTATAGTGCATAAATTAAAACATCTTTTTTTGCCAGTTAATCCGCATGCATCCCAGTGATACGTCAGCCAGAGATTGTGGCAACTGCCTATCCGAGTAACTTACAAGGAATGAATTCTGATGCAAAAGAATATCTTTTTTAGTTTTAGTGCATAGACTTTTAGTTTAGTGCATAGACCTAGTAAGAGCTGTCATTTCCAGCAGTAATTTCCAGTTTGTGTTCTGTTAAACTAATAATATGGAATTGCCTCTTTAGCCAAACAGCAATCTTGGTGTAACACTTGAAGAAATTGAGAGAAAAGCATAGCATAAATTGCAAGGAAGAGAGTTTTCTGGAATGAAAGTAGCCAGAAGTGGTATAGAGAATGAGTACATTTCAGTATCCTCAGTCAAACTAGATTAGGCTTGCATTCTTATGGGGGCACTGTTGTACCTAGTCTGGAGGCAAAGGGGACAAGGTTGGAAGAAGAAGGTAGCCTCGGCTGCTGAGTCACTCCACTGCAGCCTCACTAATCTTCCCCTAGGAACAATTGGTTGGAAACTGGCTGGCCCATGGGCAGGGTGGTGGTGGGAGGTGACCAAGATATTCCTTGTTCCAGTTGCCACTAGGACCCCCAGTGGCAATATCTCAGGGTGATTTGTCCTATTATTGCAGATTGCTAGAATAAGGTTCTGGCAAATCCTTTGATGAGAAAGTTAACAAGAATTAACCTTAGAAGGGATTCACAGTATCCTTTTTCAAGGATACCTTAGTTCTTCCATTCCTACAGGGCAGATGTGACAGCAGCAAAAAAAGAAAAAAAAATAGAGCGGGAATGATAACACAATATGATCTCTTTTCTCAGTGTTTGTAATCCTGGAGTATCATGTTGTCTTACTAATTTTTCAGGCCATTTCCCTTCATTTTATTAAGGGTATTTCCACCAGTATTTCTTGGAGCATTCTCCCATGATTGGCAGAGCTATCAAAGAAAGAGATAATTTGTTAATTCAAACTGGCATTATGATTCTAGGTAGCAGTGACGGTTCTGAGCTCAGTGAAGAGACTTCATGGCCAGCATTTGAAAGGTAGGAGAAGTTGCAATAACAGTGTTTTGCGTAGTGTGAAGGGCTGCTTCACATATGACAGTTCCACATTTTCACGTAGGAGAAAAAGTGTAAAAAATGTGTATAGAAGTTGATCACGTGCACATTCCTGTGTGTTCTGCTTCTGTCTAGGGAGCTGTTTTGTGTTGTTGAGAGAGACAATATCTGTGTAGGAAAGAATAATATGTGAAACAGCCCTAACTTTATCATGTAATTGTAAAATTATAGAAAATTAATAGTTATGAATTCATGGCCAATACTCCTAGCATCCAGGTGTCTATTAGAACCTGTTCAAAGCAACATATTTCGGTGAATTAGCCTCACAAGATTTGTTTTGATACTATGAGCAGCTGGCCTTGCTTGTGACTACCAGCTGGAAACTGCTGTAAGTCAGGTCTATAACTTGAAGAGAAACAACTCTCATTTCTTCAGCTCTCAGCACTAGAGACTTTCCCAAGAAAAATAGCTGTCCTGAGATGTTTCCTAGTTTGACACATGGCCTTGCTAGCCACCCAAAATAACTTGAGGGTTCTGTGCAGCTGGGTAGACATAGAGAGAAAGAGAAGCTGATGCTACATGGTCAAAAGCCTGGCAAACTCATGTCAGAAACTGGTCTGACCTCCCCGCTTCCTTCCACCCAGATCAGGATTAGACGTTTCTAACTGCAGTCTGAATTATGTTACAACTGGCCAGTTACGCTGAACTGGTGATACAAAAGAGGAGTATTGCCGAAGTCATTAACAGAAGACACCAACAAAGTTAGAATGCCAGAAAATAGGGAAATGTAGCTTAATGCTCAGAAATTGGCTCCAAACTGAATCCTTTTCCATCCAAAAGGAAGATCTGCCCTTTTGGGGTGATTCCTGCTGCTTGTGGGCCAGTTAGTGGGAACATGGGATAGGATAGGCTGGACATGCACATGGTAGACATGTCATGAGCGGAGCCAGCTGGAGTCGAGGGTCAGGCGAGATGGCCCAGGAGGCCCCTTCTGACTCTCTGTTTCTGTGTATCTACTCAACTGGTCTGCCCTTTTGATCTGCGGCCGGACTGTGGGACTGGTTATGTTACATTCTGCCTGTTCAACGGCATTTCTCACAGAACTGGCTGTGGTCTGGTTCTCACCAGTATCTTGGCTTATCTCTGGGTCTGCTGGCCTTGGCATTTCAGCTCAGAATTCTGATCCCACCTCTTCTTCCAGTTTTGATTCAGACCTAATGGCCTCCTTGGGCCCTTCCAACTCTACTATTCCACGATTCTATGAAATTCCATAGGTTAACTATCTGTAGTATGAAGTAATGGTTCCTGTAATCTGTCCTGAATCTTCAGCCAGTCAGCTTCTTGGGATGACCACAGGCTATAGTATTAATTCAGAGGGAGAAATTAGAGAATATCTACATGATTTCTTATTTTTCTACATCTCTGTCATGTCTCTTCCTCCTCTTCTTTTTTGTAAGCTAAGTAATCTGAGATGTTGTACCTACTCTCATACAAGAGATGCTGCACCCCTTAGACCATTGTACTTGTCTTTTTCTGCACTTGTTTCCAATTCTGCAATATGTAGAAGAATATTATGCTAAACAATAATATGTTTATGTTGTAGGATTGCAGACTGACTCATGCAATGGCCTTTCCTTGTGAAAACCTATATTTAGAAAAGATGATAGAGCTAAAAGCTTGGTTCATTCCTGTGACATAAATGGCAAGTTTCACATCCATCAAGACAAGGCTTCCTTAATTTGCAATGCCACGTACAGGTGTCATAAATAATAGGCTTAACATTGTGTTTTCTGAGGTGGTTGCATTCTTGTCCTGTATGCAGTCCCCCTCTGAGCCCCTCCTTAGTCTCTTGCCCTTGAACTTAACCATCGGAGTTAAATCTATTCATTTAATTGAGCCAGGCTCTCTCATAAATGGCAGCCCTATCTCTGTTTCTCCCTGATGGTCTGAATAGCACTTCGGGAACAACAGTAATTAATAACAATAATGTCATATGGGTTCACTTATTGAATGAGAGATGCAAGATTGCTGTAGCAAGGATGGTCAGTAATTTCAAGGCTGCTGCTTCTAGACAAGAGTAACAATTGCTGCTGGCAGGAAGCTTGACTCGAGAAGATGGGATGGTGCCTTTTGATGTTTAAGTATATTCCTGAAGCTGATCTAAGTTCTATCTTGTTGCCTTCATTGCTTCAGCCAGTTTCCTCACTGTGAATCTACATTCACAATAGAACTGTTTCTTTTTGCTAGCATCCCGCTCAGTTTGAAAGACATTTTTAGGGTTTCCTGCTTGATAGCCAATCATTCTGGTCGCTTAGATCCATATTACTTTAAATGCAAGATTCTCAAAATATAAATAATGAAAGGTAGGTAATTCTGTTTTCTTCCAGGAAGTTGGCTGTGCCATTGTTCCATAATGTCTAAGAGAGCTCAAGCTCATGAGTCTCTTCTGGGTGTCAATTGTTTCCTCTTGCTTTAAAATCCTTTTCTCTGTTACAGCCTTCTTAACTCAGGGAAAAGGCAGTGGGCAGCTTGTCTTCAGCAATGTCCGATAGCCAACTCTTACTATAGGATGTCATCACATCTTGTTTCTCTATGAATCCTGGATGCTAGAAACATTCAGGCGAGAAATTCCTTCCAAAAAAGTGCCATTCGTACATGGGAGAAATTCTAACTCTGAACATGTGCCCAACCCCCTCCATTCTTCCACAGATCTTTTTGTCCTCCTGAAATGGTAAATTCTGGTTCTGCAGTTGGACTAGATGACAAATTGCACAGCACAATTATTGCTTGAAAGCAATTACTGATGAACATAATGGCTTTCTGGAACTTGACTGGACAGAAATGGCTTGAAATTAGAAACCACAGAAACAAACATTCTTTTTCACTGGAGACAAGCAACCGTATGCTAAGAGACCACAAGTGCTGTCAACCTGTGTATGTGGTTTTAGAAACAGACGTTTCCTCATTGCAATGCCCATGTGCTTTTTATTGGGTTATTTATTTATTTATTTATTTATTTATTTATTTATTTGGATAAATTGTTGCTGCTGTTTTTATTCACTTTTTTGTAACACTGGGACTACCTCAGGGCTCAAGACATCTCTCATTGTTCTTAAGTAACACACGATCCTTTATATTAGAATAATTCTGTCAGACAGGAATAAGTAGGATGGAAAAAGTGCTGTCAGACTCTTTAGACAGTGCCAGTCGTGATTCATCTTTCAGAGAACAGCATTCACAGTTGATGTTTCATTTTTATGTAACACTGGGAAAGTCTCAGTAGTTTGATGCAAACTCTTTTAACCAGAAGATGCTAGAATTATGGTTCCTATTCAGGCTTTGCATCATGCATAGCATTAACATCGGGATTAAGAGTACTGGATAAATTGGTCCAGAATTAAGACTTTTCCAGATTGATGACTGTGCCAAAACTATATGACGATGCCATTTATATATCAATATTAAAGTGGGCTTCAATCAAAACAAAAATGCCTATTGTTTTCTTTGGCCAAGGCTTGTCAAAGAATTAGTGATTATTTAAGGCAAATGTTATTTTCTTTTAATAAATTAAGTACTTGAATTTCAATCCAGCTGAAATCAAATGATATAGCAAGTTGTGTTTTTCTTTGCAAATGCTTTACTTACATTTTAAAAGTGAAATGGTGTAATCAGTCAGGGTATACAGTTAATTTAGCCTCTATTTGCTATTTATTAAAATACCAATATCAAATACTGTTGCATCCTGGAATATGAAAAATAATATATGGTCATTACATTCAGGTAATAAAATCATTGTTATGAATGATCACATTAAAACAACAATATTTTTTCTGCACTTCTTTCTTTGCAAGAATGGTCAAAACCTAGAGCTCTTATGATATGTTGCTTTCTCCAGACGTTACCCAAGTGGATTTAGGTACATAGTGTTCCATTTTTTAAAAATAAAAATGATAGAGCAGCTTTTTAAATGCTAAACCCATTACTTGGGATGTAGTAACAGTGTGGCAGAGAGGAAGTTTATTACAGTGTTCTAACACATGATTATGACTGTGAATTCAAAATATGTAATTCATGCAATTTATAATGGAATCCAACAGGAACAGATTATATCATTCTCTTGGTCCGGTGACAAGAATGGCACGAAATGGCTATCGAGGCCACATGAAGGGCAGCAGGTACTAACCCCTTGCATTTAGGGGTCAGACTTTTTCCTCTGGTGTTGGTGACTGAAGTGGCTGTAATTTAGTATTCCTTACCTTTCTAACTTGTTGCCAAATGATGTTGGTAAAATTTCCCTGTAAAAATGTGCCTTCACTCTTGTGCGATTTATAGACTGTGGCTGGCTTGTTCTGATCTGCAAATCCAATTTCTTAAAAGTACTGCACTGTTACCTACAGAAGTTTAAAGATGCTCTTTAAACGTACTTTAGCACTTCGTGATGCTTGAAGTCATGGGACGACAAGAATGATGTGTGAACCTAAGCTTCTTACTTTAAGAATCTTTACTAAGAATGTTGCATTTTTTAACTCTGAGACATATAAATGGCAAGTTCCTGGTGATCACTGCCTAATTCCATTTTGAGTGACATTTTTTGCCAAATGTCTTGGAAGCTTCCATACACATCAGACTGTTTTGCATTCCTAATTAAACTTCAGCCTCTATAACTGGGTGGTTATCCCAGAAGTTTAAATAACTGTAAAAATCAAGCATTATCTGAAACAGAGTCATGCATTGGATTCCTTGTATGCATTGGATGAGATTTTCACAGTAAAAGCTTGTCAAATCTCTCTTGACAACTTGTATTTAACAAACAGATGATGAGTGAATGGAATGATTTTTCCAAGATGTTTCAGAAATCCTTCTTCCCTCAGACGCTTCTGGAGAGTTGATGGCTGTGCCCACATCAGCTGCCTGGCATGCACTGATGCAAATGGTTGCGTCAGTCAAATATTTCCTGTTGTTAAAAGTTGGTCAGCTGCTCACTTGCTAGAACACATGCTCTGTCAAAACAGGTTCATTTAACTGCTCTGGGCCAGGCTTTCTGCTTTCCTGCTGCTTCTGTTACTGCTTTCAAATAAGTTGGTATGTTATTGTGCATGTACTGAGCTTTTATTTTTTTCTGTTTCAGTAATTCAAGTGAGTCTAACAATCTAGGCTTTCTGCTAAGTCTGGAAAAGTCTATAAAGAACAGTTTTAAAAACATATATTCAAGAGAAACCTCTTTTGTTGAAGAAAACTTGAAGTTGAGTTTGAACCATTTGAGCTGTTAGTGTAATTCCACTGTGTCTGTCTAAAGTGCTGACAATTATTCTTGTTTGAGTCAGTTGGTGTACTGAAAAGCTTTCTTGGTGTTGCTTGCACTTCTGAGGGTTGCAACCATGAAAGTAGCTCTTCTAAAGTCAAGGTCTCTTTCCACAATGGGATCTAATAAATGAGATGGCAACATGTTACAAACTGAAACACAGAAGTTAATACCAAATTAAGTTATATTTGGAAAATGACTATTGGGATATTTTGTATTTTCCAGCACTTCACTCCTCATGCTGTTGTTGTTGTTGTTGTTTAATAGTTCTGCAGAGTCCGAAGATTTAGCTGTTCATTTGTATCCAGGAGCTGTTACTATTCAAGGTGTTCTCAGGAGAAAAACTTTATTGAAAGAAGGCAGAAAACCTACAGTAAGCTATAGAATTATTATTTAAACTGTCTCTAGTTGTTTTATTTTGTCTTTCAAAAAGGTTTGATTTGGTTGGTTTTCCACTTAGACCAGCAGTGACGGTTCCAGCGATTGAATAACTTGAAACTCTTTATGTCAGAAAATGAAAGTTTACTTTGTGCAGAGGCAAGATACGATTTTTTTAAAGGATGGCAACACATCTCATGGCTAATATAAACACTATCTGCAGCCTCTTGGTAGATGCTATTTTCCAATTTGGTTGGACAGGCAGAAGTTCCTTGTCTAGGCCAAAATAGGATGCTGTGGTTACCCTGGTGACATGGAGAGTCTCTCTGCCACTGTTGAACACTTATTGTGGTTGCTGTTCTTGGCATAGGGGAACCTTATCAGACTGATCTTCGTGATGGACAGCTGTTGCATGTTATAGGTCCTGCAAAGAGTCACTGTCATGGAAAATAATGTTTTAGCAGCTTCCATTAAATCAGCTCTCATCTCTAGGAAACCAAAGTTAGTTGCAAATACAGGTGCTTTACTCATTTTGTTGGGCAAAGGCAAAAAGAGAAGGATTTCAAACAGATTATATCACATTATCATAGGATTTGTGATGAAAGCTGCTCACACGCTAGCAGAATGGACCACTAGAAACATAGAAACAGAGCGAGTCAGAAGGGGCCTCCCGGGCCATCTAGTCTGACCTCCGGCACCAGCCGGCTCCGCTCACAAGTATACCACTAGTATAATAGGAACTTGTGCTTCTTAAAACTATGAGTTTCATAGCTATCACCAAAGTTTAAAACAAATCTAGAGATGGCTGCGTGCTATCCTCCTGTCATGTCTCAGCTTATTCTTCTGTTCCAGTGGAATGGACTTCTAGTTTAACAATAACTATTGGGTTTTGATGCTGTTTGCATACTTATATAATAGTAGATATTCATCTAATTGTGAATTTTGGGGATTGGTATGGGGATATTTAGTTTACCTGTAGTTCTCAAACTGAAAGACTGAAAGTCTCACTAATAGAGTACCAGTCATTTCAAGCAGGCCTTGCCTTCAGGAGACAATGTGGATTGCCATTTATGGATTACAGTGTTGACAGTGAGAATAAAAAAAAGCCTTCTCCTTTTAGATGGCTTTCCTCTTCCTTGTATCATGTGCTGTGATCATTACTAACAAAGACGTTTTTACCTTGCTGAACTGGTTTGCCCTTGGAAAAAGTTGCATCGCATTTTGCAATTTTTTTATTTAAAAAGTTGTCTTCAAAATAATTATATGACTCATCTCTTTCATAATCAAGAGTAAAAGATGTTGTAGTGGATATTGACCAGATTTGCACAGTCACCACAGTCCATAGTGGTCCATAGGCTGCTTAGGTCACAAGGTTTTGAAAGCATGACAAGCCACGGTTGTGGTTTCAGTACACAGAATGGCTACATGTGCTGCAACCTACCATGGCTTAAAGAAACGATGATGGGCTGCCTGCTTGACTGTGTGAACCAGCCCATTGTGTATTGCAGTTAAAACATCCTGGCTTGGAAATATTATCCTGCTTACAGTAATTGAGAATGGGGTAGGGTTAAAAAACTAAACAAGCAAAATGAAAATGAAATGATACGGGCCTCTTGGCTTCTCTGACTATTGCCTACAGGTAGCATCCTGGACAAAGTACTGGGCAGCACTGAGTGGAACCCAGCTCTTTTATTATGCTGCAAAGTCTTTGAAGGCAACAGAGAGAAAACATGTATGTATTCTATCATAAAACAGGCCAAGTTGGCTGGTATATCTTAACCCACAGGGATAGTCAAAATCAAACAGATTTTCTGGATATTAGTACTCATCATTTTTAATCTTTTAAGTCTTGATTCCCTTCTCTCTCTCTCCCTCCTCTTTCCCCACTCTCCCTTCTCCCCTCCAACTGTTGTGAATAGTTTGCCTTTTTGTTGTTTAACAAGACAGTGCTCAGCCTTTTTCCCACTGGCAGTAGAACAAACATTTTTCCCATTCTTTTGGGAGAGTTGCATTTTCTACAACCATGAACATTTTTATTGATGTTTCCCCTTTAACTGTTTTCACTGTGCCCACTTTTCTCTCCGAGATCTCACTTTGAACCACCAGATTTTGATTTTCTTCTGCCAAGCAGCTCAGCAATCTTGAAAAGCAATTTCAGAATCTGTAAGTTTGAAATATGAAAGGCTGTGGAAGCATCCATATGACTTTATCTGGATCTTTCATGGCATGTACAAAATACATAAAAGCACAATGTAGAGGAGACTGTGGCTGTTCTGCAACCATACATTTTGTTAGTACTTTTAATATTCCAGGCACAAAATCGAACTACTACAATGAATAAATTGATGTTCATAAATTGAATGTTCTGTGATTTCTTTCTCAGTGTTCAAAATGGTCAGTTACTTTTACATGAAGCAGAACTCCAAGATTAATTTCAAAAGATTTTAGGTTGCGAAACTTTTACTACCAAGTAGAATGGTAGCCGCATAAACCCTTTCTGATATTTTATGGTTGGAATGGAGAAGCAAGCTTTTTTCATTTCAAATTAATATGACACAGTCCCCAGGCTGCAGTCTGTCTCTCTTTAATATGTCCACTGTGGCAGACATGTCTTCTGCATCAAGTTTGGATCAGTTCTCATTTAATTATTATTCAGAGTAGCTGCTGAGAAAGGTTCTATAATGCTGCTGCCTCCGATAGCATACAGAGTGAGCAAAAATAAACTTCATTTCACACGGATTAGATGTAACTTCACAGGCCACCTTACCTTAAAGGCTGATTGTCACATACATGCACATCTCTTGATTTCTCAGTGTTTGATTACTCTGTACTTGGTAGTTTGCAACTGATTGTATGAACTTATTACACTGAGAAGAAGAGGATTCATAGCTCTGGTGTAGATCCCACACTTTCTGAAAAGTCTTATGTTCAGTCCCTGATAAACAGATCTAAGGTAGATAGGATGGGAAGGGCTTCTCCTTAAGACCTTAACCACTTTCAGTTGGAGTAAACAGAACTGGGCTAAATGGGTCAGTGGACCAAGGCAGCTACCGAAGGCCATGCTTCCTGGGTAAGGTTTGTACTTGGTGTGGGCAAACGATCCTAGGAGCCAGATGTCAGTTGCTAGCTAGAAGGCTGATATTCAGGCTTTTTCGTCTTGCCTCGCTGCAGGAGACATAGAGCAGAACCCTGTGCCTGATCTTAAGTTTTCTCGAAGGAGATCTGAGGAACTGAAAGAAACAGTGGTGACACAAAAGATGACGTTCTCAGCCATATTGACAAACTGAAAGTTAACAGGTCCATATGGTATCTGTCTTACAGTTCTTAAAAGAATCAAATATGAATACAAATTTAAAAGGGTTGCTGAATCAAATCACTGTCTGTTTAGCCCAGTGTTCTGTTCGTGTGAGAGCACACAAATGGCATGGATGCAGTAGTATGTTTTAACATATGTTCCCTGGTCTGATAATAAAGAGGCAGTTCCTGTCCTTCATACAAAAAGGTACCCTCACTGTCCAACATTTCATTTTCCTTCAGTAGAGCAAACAATCTTAAAGAGCAATATTAGATAGCATCCGTAGTGGGAGATACTGACTTGGATCCCAACTAGGCTTCCAGAGCAGACCCAAGGAGAGCTGTGAGAAAAAGGGGGATTAATAAAAGTCACCCTTTTGCATTGCTGGGAGTAATCCATGACTGGAACTCTACTCTGTGTGTGGACCAGTGGTGGGAACAAACTCAGAATTTCAGCTGAAGTTGTTTCAGAATAATTTACGTGAAGGAGGATTCTTTCTGAATGTCTTACATCTGTTTTACAGTATAGTCGCATCCTGGCAAATCTTAACTGTGTCCTTCTGCTTTCCATTTATCTTGTGCCTGGGTTGGTTTTTTTCCCCTTAGTTCAAGTCTACACCAAGCAAGAACGTGTCAGTAGTAGGGTGGATGGTCATGATGGCTGATGATCCCGAGCATCCAGATCTCTTCCTCCTCACAGATTCTGAGAAAGGTCAGTAGCATCAAGATTTTGTGGTAGCTTTTCATTGTGATCATAAGCAATGGAATAGAGCAGGATGTTGTCTTGAGCTGAAGGTATGACTGCCTTTTCTGCCATTACTCATGGAAATAATTGAATCTGAGGACCACCCTGGTCATCTTCATGTAAGCTTAGTAGCATGCATACTATTCAAAATATTACATTTTACCCACCAGAAAACTTTCAGAAATTTTTGATAGGAAAATGGCTATTGACACTTCATTTAAAAATGTATATCTCACTTTATAATCCAAAAGGACACATGGGCTGGCTTACAAATAGTGAAAGCATACAATAAAAATACTCTGAAAACAGAAACAGCCATATGAAAGAAATTAACTGAAAACTTCTCCCAAATATTTGTGCGACTTTTCCAGTTTGCTTTCCAGGGCCTGTTGAAGGTCCTATTTTTAGAGTCATGCTTTGAAACTTTTTACTCGAAGCCTTTCTTCAGCATGGCTCTATAACTGAAAATAATTTCAGTCTTTTACTCTTAAAAACGTCCATGGCCACCTATTTATCCATTGGGAAGTCTCTGGAAGGTTTGGTGAAAGTAACATACTTTAATAAAACTGCTGCCTCTCCCCATGCTCTTGGAAAGCAGCAAAGGAGCACAGTTGACGAGGGGTGAGAGGCTCGAGGTCCCCCATCTTCCGTGCCTAGGATCTGGACACATCTGTCTCCACTTTTAGCAGCAAGTCGCCATCCCCATCTCATCCTAAGTCTGGCTGGGAGGCCAAGAAGACGAGGCAGCCATGTCTGCTCAGCGGAGAGCTGAACTCGTTGAGTGGAGGCCTAACTCTTTCAAGAGTCCTATTGATTTGAACTATGAGTCACCTAGCTACAACACCCCTAATCTTGCCTGCCTTAATCCCCCAATGGTTACGTTTGATTGTGTTTGTGTTACTTTTCACGTATAGTATTTTTATTGTGTTTGGAAAAAAGCAGAATGGCTGTGTTTTGATCAAGTCTATGTTGATGACTGTTGTGCAATAATATTATATATGCCATGTTTTATCATCAGGCCCGTCAGTATAGGTTGACTTGAAGTACCAAAAGCTTTTTAAGTATTTATAACCTTTCGTCTTCCCTTCTGTGTCGTTTAGGGAACTCATACAAGTTTCAAGCTGGTAACAGAATGAATGCAATGTTGTGGTTCAAACACCTGAGCACCGCCTGTCAAAGCAACAGACAGCAGGTGAGAGGACAAGAACTACAAACGGCGCTGGCAGTTGGCAAGTAGCAACGATAGCAGAGCACTGAGTGCCTCTGCACTGAATGACCTATTTGGTTAACACAAAAGTTCCTCATGAATCTCAGGGCCAGTTGAGCCCCCCCCCCCCCCCGCCCAACATTACCAAATGAGAGCCAGAGCTGTATTTATTTCCCACGTGGTACATTTGAATGCGTAGAGAATCAAAAGGGCATTATGAAACATTATGTACCATTTCCACCTATAAACCAAAAAATAATCAGATAGCATTGCTTGAACTAGAAAAGCGTTTATTTTAAAGACTTGCATGTTGTGTTCTTTAGTAAGTGTAAAAAAGATTCCTTAGATCTTGTATATATTTACATTTAATCCAGTAAATAATTTATGATTACCAGGCATGTCAAACAATTTTTCAGATTTTTTGTTATGGGAAACTAATCCTTCTTCCTTATTTCTGGTGCTCCTCCATTGATATACAAAATGTCACCCTTTTTAGGTATAATATTACTAAAATCCTGTGCCTATTTCAGTTCTTTATCATACAAATCCAGAAATCACCTTCATTCCTTCTAATTGTGATAACAAAAGTTATTGTCCAAGTATCAAAAATTGTATCAGAGTATACTTTTCCACAAATACATAATCAATTTTTGCTGCTAGAATTTCTCTCCATAGTTCCTCCATGTCCAACCCACAAAAGAACGGAATGTATCAGAGAAGTGGGGATGGGGGGACTGCCCCTTTCATTGACTCTAATTCAGGCTACAGGCTAAAGTAAATCCCTCTAAAGTGAATCTGAATTTTTCTATAGTTAACATAGCTTTTATTCAGTTCTGGATTTTAAAGTTTTATCAGATATAACACCCCCCAAAAAAAAATCCTGCTATAGGCTTGAACTTTGATGAACCTTCAGTTTTCCCTTCCTTTGGTCTGAAAAAGAAGAGGACATCAAAAGCATCTGCTCCTGATTTTAAATTACTTTGGGATTCTGTTTAAGCTGTGGTTAGTGGGAACAAACCATAGTCTCATAATCTGAGTTTTTAAGGCACAGTTCTGCACATCTGGATGTTACGGGGGCAGCACACAAGCACACGGGCTCCTCATGGCTTGTTTGCATAGTGAAAACCATGGGTTCCCCTTGTATCTGAACTTGAGCTTAGCTGAAACATCTAATCTACTTGTCCTACAAAACCATTGCATGTGCTTTCAGGTCCCTGCCAACTTGATGACTTTTGAGTGAGAAGCTGCTTCAGAACTGGACAGGGATTAAACTTCCGAATCCTGTCTGTCTCATGGTTTGGGGAAGGAGGCCCTAGTGAAAGCATGCCAGCTATTCTTCTGTGCCAGAACAAGGATGGTAAACAGTTTCAAATCTCTACAGTACTGAACAAAAAAAAAAAGCACTAAGAGTTCAGGGGACGGAAATGCAACGTGAACTGTCAGGGAACATGCTGCTGCTTAATATTCTCTGAACTGATCTGTGGAAACCACTGCCTTAAAGAATGAAAGGAAAACCAACATGAAACACCAAATAGCGCACGTGTGTGTGAAACCTCTGGCGGTGCTATGCTTAGGTTAAATAGGTTGTAGCTAGTTTTCATTTGTGTTAAGTTGATTAGATTTTAATTTAAAAGCCCAACTTTTTGCAGTTGTTCTTCTTGTAAAAAGAAATAAATCCCAACTGTGTAAGGATGTCAAGGGGTGGGTTTGCAATGATGCAGCGTGTGTGTTCTCAAAGAGTACATGGACTATACTTGTATCACTCTCTTGAGTTTTTGTTGGGCTTAGAAAATTTGAAACACAATTTAATTTGTTTAGGCTTAGAATGTAAAAACTGTAATATATGCAAATTTCTTCTCTTTTCACAAAAGCACTGACTTTGCAGAACTTCGTACTGTATTTTTTTTCCTGAAAGTGGCACAACAGCTGAGCGTTCAAACATGACACTCTTCTTTTCTTCAAGTTTTTGTTTGACAGTTTCCTAGTAGAAATAGTCTATGGGGTTTTGTAATGCAAGCTCTGATGGATCAGAGTTCATGGATCAGAACTGAGCTTTTGTTCCTCAGCATATTTTTAAATGGGCTACATTCTTATTTCCCCAACAAGCACTTTGAATATGCCTTGTAAAGCTCTTGCACGGGTTATTTACTGTTGAAATATATCCCCTCTCATATATCAGATATTTTACAGATAACACTTTTACTGCAGCTCTCTTCATGCAGTTTGAGAAGCATGTACTTGTATATTTTGGAATCGGGAGTTTCATTGAGTTCTTCTGTCCCTGATACAGAAGTCAGACCTATATAGTCACCTAGCACTAGTACAAATTTCAGATAGTCAGGAGAAACAGTAATAATGTGTTTCAAGAAAAATATATAAATGGAGTAAAAATCAAATAGGACAAATTGTTTTCTACATGAAAAAGAATTTTGTCATTATACCCATATTCTGAAAAAATGTTTCAGCCACATTTGTGAAAAATAACTTGTGCTCTAAAGGTTTTTTTGTTTAATGTGGCACTTTATTTTCAAATGCTTTGAGGCCACTTCAGAATCCTCCGATGGGTGATCCTTATTACTAAATTTAAGCAAGTCAGGTATGAAAAGACTGCATCTTGTAGGCAAAACTCATTAATTAAAGAGATGCTCTCCTTCAGTATATAGACTGTGAAAGAATTTGCTTTACTCTTACTGAATTTATTAATAGATGAGTGTATGTATATAATTTTTTTAAAAAATCACTGACTCATGTTTCCAGAGTTCACAGAATCTTTTTTCCTATGGGTGGGATAGAGCAGGGACTGGCAGGAGCAGGAGACAATAAAGCTGGTATAAAAGTGGCACTCGGCCGCTTTGAAACCTGCTCCTTTTTCTTCCTATAAGAATGTTCACAGTGTTTTAAACACCTTTTATTTGTCCCATTCTACATTCTTGAGGAATAAATGTTCAGTTCTGACCTTGTAGTTATGTATGTTGGAAAGGAAGGTTTGCTTGTTCAAGTCACTTCTAGTTTACATGTCTCCACAAAAGAACCATTTAGGGTGTTTCATAGAAACATCTTCATAGCCAGCAGTATTACTGTACAGAGTTTACATGACTTATGTTCCATTTTCAAAATTACTGTGTGTCTCTTTTCAAAGTATTTTTTAAAAGGACAACACTATAAATGTATGTGTTTTTTCCCTTTAGGATTGTGGAAGGTAACCCTGTGGAATTTTTTTTTTAAGAGAAAATGTGGGAATGGGGGAAAGCACTAGTGTACATATATTGCAGGCATATCCCATTTGTCCTTAATGTTTTATGAGTAGAAATATGCAACTGGGAGCAAGCCACAATTTCATGTAATTCGGGTTTGCTATAGTCAATTCATGCTACAGTTGTTCAGTTGGCATATTCATTAGGTTTTGGCATATTAAACTTCTTTATGGAAGTTTCCAATACTTTGTCCCAATCATAGCACACTATATCCTCCTCAGTCATTTTTAACAGGTTTCTCAGGATATGGTTTGCTTCATCCTAGACAAGTTTTTGTAGATTGGTCTCTCCCATCAAGATCTAGTTTAAGTGAAAGAGCTGTTTCTGTGAAGGCAAAACCTGCAAAATGGTCACATGAAACAGCGCAAAGCCAGATTAACAATTGCTGAGTTTGTTGTTTATTTTCCCCCAAAAGCTGCCTTGTATATCCTTGCAGGAAGTTTCAAAAGTAGTAGAAAAAAACTTAGGAAGCTGTAGTGACTATTTTCAGCCAAATTTTGACCCAACTTTAAATATGATAACTCTATGTGAAAGTTCTAGTTGAAAATGAAGCTGTTTAATCTAGTTTATGGGAATGACAGAGTTGTGACAAGTTCAGGGATTTCTGCTAGCTTGCATACATTCCATAGATACTGTTTTATCTCGGGTTAACCTAGGCATTTTAGAGCAGCACAGAAGCACGGAGACTTCCATTTTTTAATGCTTGATTTGTCAACAGTAGCTTTGTTTTTATGTTTAGGCAGATAGGCATAGTCCTTCACAGAGTCCTGAGACAGGAAAAATACTTGTAATTCATTAGATATCCTTTATACTACTTCTTGTAAGAAAACTAGTTTTAAAAAGTTAGTTTTACTAGAAAAAACTATTTGACTTCTGAAGTTTGTGTGAAATTTTATTGTGTTACATTCCAGTGACATAAAATTCCACAGCTCAGTGTTATCCATTCCATTAGATTTATATATTGGTTTTGAAAGAGGTGGGTTTAAAACAAAGGTTATGTCAAAAAAACCCTGAAATCAGTCTAAATCTGAATGAACCATTCTGATTGCTACCCTTTGAATCGTTGAGCTGGCTGTGTGAACTGTAGCACTAAACAAAGATTCTCATTTTCTCCCCTTTTCCCCCTTTTTGGCAGTCAGTAATTGAAAACAAGATGACTTGTATTTTTCCCTTTGTTCTAATGCAGTAGCTACTGAAATATATATTGTGCAATGCAATCCAATGAAGCTGTCCACAGCCCTCCAGATTTTGAGGAATACAGGCATCCTACACCTGGCAGAGGGGATGTGAGGCTGAGGTTTCCTTCATCTTCCTCCTCCCATGCCAAAACCTGTGGCCGTTTATGAGTTTGGATGCAGAGGAAAGTGAGATGCTGCTAGGACACTGTGCATGCCTGTGGAGCCTTCTCCTCTCCTACCCACCCCCAAAAGCCCATCTCTGAGCTGGTGGTCTTTCTACACCAGCGGGAAGTCAGAACTGGGGCTTTGAATTATCCAATGGCTCGCTAGGCACCAACATAGGATTGTACCCTAAGTTTATTTAAGGGTATGTTTTTATGGATCTTCCCAAACCTATTCAAGTAGTTTATGATTGTTAATGATAATAAAAGTTTCAACAAACGAGTCCAGCTGGAATTCACAATCTGAGTCATGTACTTGGTTTCTGTGCACACACAGAAAATAACGGAAGCACTGCTTGTACCGCTATGACTCAGTTTGTAGTCTAGGTTGAGTCACCTTTTAAGGAAGAAACACTGACATTTCTTACAAGAAGAAATGTTTAATACTGAATGGAAAAAAACCTATTTTGATAAAAACTAAAAAGAAAAACCTCATTAGACAGTTTAAAAGAAAGCTTTTCGTGCCAGTTCACTAATTCCATATTCCTGAATTGCTTTTTCTGCATAATGCCTTGATTGGAGAACCTTTGTTGCACACCTCAAATTTGAGCTGATTTTCCATACAATAAATTTCAGGGACTTCATGGTTCACCTGGTTGTGTGCATTCTACCATTCTGAATCAGTCGTTTTTGTCTTGTTGCCTTTCAGCAAGCCAACAGGAGATAGGATAGGTAGTGTCATCAGAAGGTTTTTTCCCCCCTAAAATCTCAGCCAACCCTCTAAGGAAGCTTTCCATGTGATGAAACTGTAGCTCAAGCTTCTTCACTAAAGATTTTTTTCCCTATATAATCTCAGTGTAGGGAGATTTTAGATGGAGGAACTATGAGATTTAGTATGAAATTGAGGCATGTTGTGCTTATATCTTGAAACATACATTGGTTTGGCCAGATGGAGATTACAGGGAAAAGGATCCTGAGAAAACTTGCAGAGTTGCTCATGTGGACTGCACTTGAATCATAAAAGCTTGTTGGGAATGTTGCTGCTCAAGGCTTACCGCTACCCGATATAAAAGGCAGCGTAAAGCAGTACTGTAGGGTTAAATGATGAGCTTCGTTTCCTGTTGATTTTGAAGCACATTCCTGTAACTTGGTGTATGAGTCTGCCATCGCAAACACAAACCTGTTTCAAATTAAGTTTGGTCACAAGGTGATCTTCCTATGCTCTTCCAGTTGCATTTTTTTCCTCATCCTTTTGTACATATTTCTTTTTCATTTCTGAAAAAAGCATTATTAATCCTGCTCTACTTTTCCCACTTGGCATACTGTCTGCTGCAGAAGCTTGAATACACTGGTATTAAATAACCATGTTTCTTTTCCCTGAAAAGTAAGCCTTTCAAGATATGGTGAGTTCCAAGTTCTTCCTTTCCCCCCTTTAAAAATGGCTTGTGTCTTAAGATTGAAAGCTTCACTTAAAATTGTGAGCAAACGCAGAATGTTTCTTCGAAGGAAACTAGCATTTCTTGCCCATAATAAGGTCTTGAGCATGCGGTATCTGCATAAGAGTTTTGTCAGTGCCTTAACCACCTGTTTGAAGACCAAGGGGGCAGACCACAAAGTACTACTGCTATGCAATCCCCCATTAATGCAAATTGGGTTTTCGCAGGAGTCACACACAGGCCCCACTTCAGTGAAGGAAATTTGTGCAGCCAGCAGATTAGCTCTGTTGTTTTGCCTCCTTTTTTTGTTTTGAAACTCAGAATTCTTATAGTCATAGACCCAGTGGCTTCCCACTTGAATTTGTATAAATTTCATTCCACTGTCAGCCCCTTGAAAACAAGGATCTAGAGTTGATTTGTGGGCCAGCTCGCCCATTTATATTGGTGGGAAAGCTCCTGGGTGTGCTGGGGACCAGGGCTGGGCCTCAGGAATGTGCGTGTGTGCCACCACATAAGTGACTTTGCATGTGAGCTGGGTATTTACCCAGACCCAACCCCACCACCACCGGCGAAGGAGCTTATTGGAGTCATCGTTTGAGCTCACCTTTCAAACAACTAGCAAGATCATTTCTGGTTTGGTTTTGTTTTTCATTTTCTCGATTCTAGAATCTGGTGGTTTAGGCCAGCATCTCTTTAAAATTAGCCATATTCACATGAATGTGTTAGCTGCAGGCTCTTCTCATGCTGCTGCACATTCCAAATGCCTGTCATTCTAGTGACCAAAGATCAGATTGTATGTAAAATCTGAACATCAATAAGTAAATATAGGGAATCTCTCCAATGTTTCAACATTTTATTATTCATTATTAACTAGGTTTTTTAGTTACCAGATAGCACCACTGAGAAAATTTGGTTTCAGATAAGCTTGTTGTTCCAATTCATCCATGCAGAAAGCATGTTTCCTTTTAAAAATTGTATTCTTGATGGAGACTATGTCAGAAAAAATAACCTGTACAAAACATGGTAGGTAACTTAAGCCAGGGATGGGCATTCCAACCATCCACCCAGGCCCTGCATAGGCCAGATTCCTTAATGGGATGCCCAGTTATGTCATTTCCTGCCATTAGGGTTGCTTCACTGGCACCACATCCTCCTCAGTAGGGAAAGAAGCAGTGGCTAGACCACTCCAGCCGTGCCTGGGGCAGAAGCAAGGCGAGGCATTCAAGGAAATCTCATCTGTAGTCAGATGGTAATTCTCCTCCCCAAGGGGCCTGGAAAGGGGAATTCCTCCGATTTCTGGTCAGGATCAGAGATAAAAGGGGGATTCCCACCCCTCCTTCCAGATTCCCAAGGGCCTTACAGCGTGAGCATCGGGTGGGACCCATGGAGGGAGCAAAAGGTTTGGAGGACCAGGTTAGGGCTGCCAGCTGTAAGTTCTCCCTTCCCTGCTTCTCGTCTTGAAGCATTCTGATCTTGAATAGCCAACTGACTGTGCATCTTCCCGAGCTTTATCAGAGGAAATGACATTTTCACAAAGGGATTCATAATGGAGCATATCTTCAACAATAACCGCTAAAGCCCAGCTGCAGGTATTGAAGGACGGTGCAAGCCGTTTCTGGCTGCGGATTGTGCAAGGAGAAACATTCCATCTGGAGGCGGATATTACAGATGCCTTGGAGGCTTTTTCAGGGAAGGGCTGCATATCGTTGGAGATGATTATAACCCACTTTCTCATAGTTCTTCTGCCTGGGCCTTATTTGACACCTAAGGGAGGTCATATCCCATTTCCTCTCTGCAGTGAACCTCTAGAAGAGGGAAGCACATTTTGAATTACCAAATAATTTCTTGCTTGCCCTTTAATTACCCATAAACCTATTCAGAGTGGATCAGTGGATGACAGGAGGTGTGACAGTTCTGCATATTCTTGCCTATTTCATAGCCTTGTTAGAGACAAATACAGCCATTCAAATCATACTGTTGTTCACATACACACAAACTGCTCAAGAGGTAGAGTCAACGTTATGCTGAACACAAGCCATTTTTACTGTTGACCTAAAGCACCATTTTGAGGGAGGTTGAATGCACTATGACCTCACTGAGTGATGTGCAGTTTGGCTGTTGCTATTTCTTTCTCCTTCTGATTTTGAATACTTATTGTATGTGTGTGTTTGAATTGTGTGTTTGCATAAGCTGTTTCAAAACAGCTTGAAGTATGAACTTAAAAATAGAATTTTCCTACTGAAATAAATTACTTAAAATTTGAACCATGTGCACTGTCATTTTACATGCATTTATATTGCAGCAAGTCCTAAGTGCTGAGCCAGTTTTCTTTAAATGGAGTGACACATTGGAGCAACTGGAATTTGGCCTTCATGAGATGGTTTTTCCTTGAGTGGAAGACAATATGGAAATATATCATTGCCAGTAACCATACCTAGAAAATAGATTTTATTTCTCTCCAGGGCTTGCTGCATCCTGAGAGTCAGGATACTTGAACCGTACTGCTGAATCGCACATAAAATCCAACTGTGCTTCTAAAATCTTACAAATGCTAAAATCTCAGTTCCTCTGGCTTCCTTCACAATCTGGAAGCAAGCTTTTAAATACACTTGAAGATGTCCAGCATTTATTGAGCTTCAAAGGGAACCCAGCTGAGGGAAGCTGGGAGTGTCCTTCAGAAAGCCACTTTTTGAGGCAGCAATCTTTCCCACAGTGCTTCACCATGCCATGTTGGGGTTCCAGTGATCAAATTTCACCTCCTAAATTCACCCCAAACTATAACGGGAAGCTAGTGCTTGGAGCCTAGATATAATAGGGTCCCAGCGAAGTACGCAAGGGCCATTAGCTTCCAGTCATCAAGGGCAACCCTTGATGTTAGAGCATTCTAGACCAGTAAGCAACATACACCATGACTATTTAACATTAATTGCCTTAAACATATATTAAAAAGTATAGGGTTAATTTTATTGTGGCTTTCATCGGAATCTTAAGAACACTGAAAATGATTGTGTTTAGCTGTCCAAGCCCTTCCGGTTGGAGAATGTTCTAAATTCAGATTGGTGAAAGAGCGAGTGACGGGCGCTGAACAACAATCCAAAAGATGCGGTCATGGACCTTTCACCAAATGGGATCGAAGACGCAAAGCTCCCGAGTACCTTGGTATTATTATAGAATGGAGATGGAATCAGTGACTGGTCTCCTTACCCCTCAAATTGCAGGTGTACTTCAATCTTTTCATGCACAAATATAGACAGATTGGCCTACTTTTGGAACCAAATTCTCTTGCCTGTTAGTTGTGTTTTAAGCCCAGTGAAATTAACTGGACTAAGGCCCATGTTTTTATGCATTCCCACCAATAATTGCATGTGCAACTGAACACAATGGGCTTCCGTGGAATAGGAAATCAAATGGAAGGTCCGGGACAAATGATCTGTTGCCTTTGGGGCTTTCCCCTTCGAAACGAGGTCCACTGTGGACAGGACTGTGACTACATCTAGGTCCCAGCACCTCCTGGCCAGTATCAAAGATTTAAGAACAGGCTAATGATGGGGGCAGCTGAGGTAAGATGAACACGCTGAGGGGAATATGGTGACCTAAGGGAGTAGTCTCTGACATACGCTTAGTGTGCCAGTCTTCTCTGCCATTCACTTTGCCTCACATCGTCTTGGAATATAGCAATTCATCTCTTGCTGAGAATGTCAGATGTTAATTTGTGCGGATTAACGTTTGTCGTGACTGGAAAGCTCCCTTCTGCTTTCTTTCCTCGGTGGTACCAGATCCTTCGAGGCTCACTGTTGGTTTTGGGGTGTTGTTTGTTTTTGTTTTCTAATGAGATAGAGCAGTTTTCATAATTTCCAAATTAAAGCTCCTTTTACAATCCTTTAAAGTGTTTAATACTGTCTAAGAGTAATGTGGAATTAATTTGTCTGAGAGGTTTTGTCCATTTTTTCCGAGGATTTCTTTCCCCTCATAAAACCTTTCAGTAGTGTTTACTGCAACAGAATTTGGTGGTCAGATTTTCTGACAAGAGCTGCTTCCAAAGCATACACACAGCTTCTGTTCTTGCAGGCAGACAGCGCCTGGGGCACCGTAAGGGCACCAGGGGTCAAATGCTGTTGGTGCAGGAGCTGTGTAACTCTTGGCTGAATGTGTGTTTTTCCAATCCCCCAAGGGAGGTCTTTTTTCACCTGTCTAACTTCTCTCCACATAATAGCCTTGCCTGTTTAGAGTTGCCCTGCTACTCCCTTTTGTGCAATAGCTTTATCATTTATATATCTCAGCTGTTCCACTTAGCAGCTGAAGGCGGCATACATAAAGTTAGGTGATGTTCTCATAACAACCTTGGAAAGGCATTTAAGGATTGAACAGTAATACGCCTCCAACCAGTCAGCTTCCTGACTGAATGGAGAGTTGAACCCTGGTTCCCCTGGCCCATGTCCAGCACTTGTTCCATCAGCTTGAACTGCTCGGTGCTTTCATATTAATTAAACACTTCAGAAAGAAAGTCAACACAACGTTTTTACAAATAAGAACTTGAACATGTCTTACCCTCCCCATATGGAGGCCACTGGAAGAAGACTTGGTATAACTACTTTTCAGAGTTTGTATTTGGAGATCATTGTATCTCAAAAGAAACCTTCCCAGCTCTTAACATTTTAAGCTGTAACATTGGGGGGGGAGGGTTTTACTGTGAATTTGAGTGTTCAGAAGTTTGCAGTTCCAGTGTTTCTTTTCTTGCAATGTTGCAATACTTTTCTTCCAAGAATACTTCCCCACAGGCTGATACCCGCCCCGCCCCCCCACAACATGGATTTTAGGCATAACCCAAAAGAAAAGAAAAAAGGGCATTCAGAAAGAAAACTTTGATAAGAAATGTCCCTGCACCCAAATCAGTGTGTCCCAAAAGAATTTTCTCTTACTATTGTCTTCATAATAAATGGAAAATCACTTATACGATCACTATTCAGAGCACAAGGGTTGGAAAAATAGTGTCACTGATGCTACATTTCCTGTCAGTCTTATCCAAAGTGATCGCTGTTGGCAGCCAGCTAAATTTCTGTTCTGGAGTTGTTGGCCAAAAGAATCCAGTGTTATCCTATCCTAGCAGGAAAAACTGAGCCGCCAAGTAAAATGCCATCCCGTTTTTTCAGTGTCCCACAACACTGCTTTTTCAACAGATTTATTTGTATGTTTGTCTGTCATATTTACATGAAAGCCACCCATTAGCATTGTGCTCTCTGTAGTAGCAATGCTAGGGTGATCAATAGGAGGAAGCCCCATGGCTTTGGATCAGAGCCTATGCTTCATACTCACTGATGAAACGCCAGTTCAACGTTCTATTCTGGACTTGCTACAAAACCACCCACCCTCCTGCTCCCCACACACACACACGCTTTTAGCCACAACACCCTAGCAAACACTGCAGCACCCTTGGCATTTGAATGGTAGATACTGATCTTGATGGGGGAAAGTACAGACATGGCTGGATTGTCCCGTAATGCCTTATCCCTAAAGATAGCATTCCTCGAAATATTTCACAGTCTAGAACAAGGTACCACCCCCCTACCAAGGGTTACTCTCTGTGTACCTCTCCCACTGCTTAACTCACTTCTGTTTGCGGTATTCACGGTGCAGTATCTCATCTCAATCACCCTTGTATTAGACTTGTAAGATGTGCCAGTATCATCTTCATATTCTATGACTGATTGATTGATTGATTTAAAGTTTTTCTATGCTATCCCATTACTAAAAAGCCTCTGGATGGCTTACAAAGAACAAAAAAACATACCTCTAGAATGCATATGGCAGTGACAGGAGCTAAGAGAACGCTCAGGCCACCCAGAGAGCTCATGACTGAGATATCACCCTACACCAACCCTATAGCAGCTTGGCCATATTGCTTGGCTGCCATTCAGTGGCAATTGCAATTGGGGGCCTGTAGTGACCATGTGCATTTATCTGTTATTGATCTAATCTGCCCAGTTCTTTGGGCCGATTTCTGGATGCTGAACAGGCCAGGTGTGGCTGGTGCTGCCCTTCCTCATGTCATCGCCCATGTGATGATACGCTAGTGCAACTGCTTCGCCATGCTTATCTATCAGCATGTTTCATCCCTCCATTGTGATTCATTAACAAGCAAACAGGTTGATGTGTCTCCTTGTTGGCAGTATAGGAAACAGAAGAAGACTGACTGATGTTCACAACTGAACCTTTAGGCCTTTTATTAGGAATCAGCAGAACTTTTTGTGAATAAATTAATTCATCGCTTTGGATGTCTGGTACCCATTAGGCTAAAGCAAGTTTGCTACTATGGTATCCAGTAAATGTTTCCTAAACAATGCCTCGCTTAAATCAAAGGCTTTGTGTTGCCGTTCTTCCGTCTGCCATATAGTGTACAAGAGCTGTCACTAGAAAATAGCTTGCTGGCCACCAGTTCAGAATGTGAAGACACCACTCCTCACTGCCACGCATGCCAGTACATTCCTAGTAGCTTATTCGGTTAGGAAGACAGACCATAACTGTTACGAAAACTGAAGATGGCACAAGAGAGGCTTAGCTCGTTGTCGTATATTTGCACATTTTTATTGTCTGTCCTCTGGTTTAATGGATTTTTGAAACAATGGTTGTGTGCGTAAACTGGATAAGCGTTTATCAAAAACGAATAATGCTTCCAGGCCTCCTCATGCACACACTTGGCAAATATAAAGTGTGAATATAATGAGTAAGTGTTTGAAAAATTGCTTATCATAAACACCTTCTCCCATCATCCTTTTTTTGAACCAAAGCAATTGGACAAGCCTTTTCAGCTACAGGAATGGGAAAAGCCTCTGGCAGCCACCCCTAAGTGCCGCTTGGGCCCTGTGGAGGCAGCTGTCAGCCGCATTTGTCCGCTGGTGACTTCGTAAGAGCTTATATGAAACTTGCTTGTAGTTGGGGCACATGGTCGAGGTCCATGGCTCAAACTGACTGAGCGACAAGCCATGTGTTATCAGTGTGGGCCACAGGCTAGAGGGAATAGACAAAAGAGGAACCTCCGTAGGAAATGGGTACTGGGGCAAATGGACAAAAGGGTATACCGGGAGGAGGAGGCCCGTTGCAGAAGGATTCTTTGCAGGGCTAAGGCTGATTACGAGCTGAGACTTGCCAAGAATATCAAGAGCATAAAAAGGGCTTCTTTCAGCATGTAAATAGGAAGAGGAAGGGGAGACAAGTGGTGGGACCACTAAATAAGGAGGAAGGAGATCCAGTGACTGATATGTGGGAA